CGTTCAGACACAAGCCTCGATGGTCGCTCAGCTTTCTTCCGTTATATAGCAGCGGGGGTCTTTGAAGCCTTGCAATGCCGTGAGCGTGTTCATGTCGTCCTCGACTGCGCGAGGCGGTTGCGGACATGCTTCTCATTTACTGCGCTCAGAGACAATTATGCAGTCACTGACATCTTAGAAAATGAAGGGAGTGACTTGTCATGTTTACGCGTCTTGCTTATGTGGCTTGTTCCTTAGCCTTCTCATTGGCTCCTGCCGTAATGTGTTCCTGACACTTGAGTGATTACAAGATTTTCGCAACTCGCCAAAGCTTGCGTTTCTTAAAAAAAAAAAATTTAAAAAGAAAAAAGTTAGAGGTGATTTCTAGCGTGCTTTTGTCATATGAATTTGAGTGTCACAAGCATCTGACACGATTCTATCAATAAAAAACACAAAAACCGAAAAAAAAAATAACGCCACTGGGTGTGACGATTTGCCCAGAGGCATATCTTCTCAATACTCACAAAGCCTGGCAGTTCGACGACGGAGCCATAGCGTGCCCGTTTGCAGATTTTGGAGCGCGAGGATTTGGTAGCACGGAGCATCGAAGAGCCATTGTGCAACGCTGTCAAAGCTACCGCACACGTTCTCGCGTAAAGAATACCATAGATGAAGCCACGCACTCGAGCTTTGACAGCGTTGCACGCTAAGTATGAAACAGTATTAGCCCCGTGCGCGACCGAAAGCGTCGCTGTGGTCGGCCTTCCACGATTGGCCGAACGCTGACTATGACGTAGGAAAGGGGATTTATCATCGACGGAAATAAGAGGAATGAAAGAACTTTAATTTTGACAGTGTTGGTAGTGCTGCTTCAAGAGCTCAATGATTTCAAGCTTCCACCATGCTATTTACAAACACCATCGAACTTGTTGTTTGCAAGGTAATGACGTCACAGGGGGGAACCATAGGAGGGCGCCACCAAAACATCTCGCCGCTAATAGAGTTCCTGTATAGGCTCCCTACGGGAGCTAGAGTTGCGCGTCTGTTTTCCTCGTGCCGCCACGCCGCTATTCGCCGAGATCCGATCACGTGAGGAGCCGGATCAAGTGCCGTGCAGGAAAGTAGACGTTGCACGCGCCCCGGCGTACGTTCACTTTTGAGAGCGCCGCGCGCCTTGAACGCGCGGCGCCGCTATTCGCCGAATTCAGTCACGTGACGAGCGGGATCAACATGCCGTGCAGGAAAGACGGCGCTACGGAGATGAACGCGCAGCTCTGGCTCACGTAGGGAGCCTATACATGAACTCTAGAAGAACCTGGACGTCAGCGTACAGCTTTTGCAGCGGCGAGGACCCGAAACACGCTTGTTCGCTCGGGAGAAGTGTGGTTCGGGGTCGCGCCGCAGCGGGCCGCCAGTCATGGGGCTATTTTCTCATCCGTTGTCTGCCGCTGCACCTTTTCCATTTCGGCGGCCGTTCCTCTTGGCGATCTGCCAGGCTTGCGCTTTCGTCTCAGCCCATCCCTTAATTTCTATCCGTATGACAAAACAAATTAGAAGTAAAATAATTGCAGAGTTCGCCGCAAGCACCAAAGAATGCCACAGATGCACATTCTATGTATACTGACTTTATTCTATAGAACCAATTCGATTTAAGTTTATTTACTCCAATTCTTGGAAGCATTTTCCCCCCTTTTATTTAGTTTTTTTCTTGAATAGCTCATGTATATGACCCGTTATATACCCAGTCTCTGATTTATAAGCCCTGAACCAAAAGACCATTGTGCTCTATCATCGGAAGTCAGCCGTTTAAGAGAAAAGAGAAAAAAAAATAAGCGTCAAAGAAGTTTTTAAAAAAAATATTTTTAAAGCTAATTTTAAGGGGCAACTCCGGTCGAAAACGAAACCCAAATAAATGAGTGGTATCGCTTTAGTTGCAAGAAATAGGATAATAGCCGAAATATTACGTCAAAGTGAAGCAGCGCTCTGCTAAAACCGATTTCAAAGATGCGACCTGCTGTTCTTTAGCGGGCGGCAAGCGGGTTAGCTGTTAGTCGAGCAACACTGGCGCAGCACCCTCGTGACGTCACGTCGCGGTGGAGCTGCCGTTGATTGGTTGTACCGCGTACCGCAGCACTCTTGTGACGTCACATCGCGGCCACACGGTTGATAAGTGTTGCCATCCCTCTAGCAGTTAGTTTCGGTTTTCGCCGTAGACGCCCGAAACCAAATTTTGACCAAAATTGACACAAACACACAGGCTCCAGTTTTTTTTTTTTTTTTCTTTTTTCTTGAAACCGAGATTTGTCGTCAAAACCACTGTGGCGAAAGGTGATCATGAAGAGTGGATAAATAACTCTGTGTTCGACATTAATCCTATAAGTGCGGAGACGTTTCTACGGGGTGCACGCGCGATGTGCCGCGCAGTGTTAAAGGTCGCTAGAGCATTCATTGCGTTGTTTTTGCCACAATAGCTTTAAAGAAATAATCTAGTACAAGGTGTCAAAGTGGCCACCGACGTTTACTAGGTCGTCCAGCAAAACGATCGGCTCTCAATTTGTATCTAAAAGGTTTCTTTAACATCGTATTACCAGTTTCAACTACCTTTGTGTTTTTTTTTCTCTCCCCAAGTTTATTGCAAGAGTGATGCCCAAATTTAAAGATTTCAACTGTGCCCACTCAATTTGTTCAGATTGTCTTTCTGTCAAGGTCATCGCGTCAAGGTGCAATGTTCATCAAACTTAAACTCGCTACTTGGTTACTCAACTACTGATTTATTACAGGCTCCTAAAAGTTAAATTTGTTACTAAAGTAGCTGGAATCTCTTCTTCGGATTGGGTCGTGATCGGGGAGTAAAAATTTATTAGCTATAGTTTGACCGGCAAACCCAAAAGTAGTAAAAAATAATGAAAAAACTGACCATTTCGCGGCTGCGTGTTATGTTTCGGGAGTACTTTACATACATGTAAAGCGATACATTTGGCGTGGATTGTATCAACGTTAAAAATAGGACACAAATTCGATCAAACTTCTGTTGTTGCTTCCTTGCAGTGTCAGAGGTGGAATGCGCCCAGGGCACGAATCAAGAGCACACCAGAGACCGCCCGGACGCTCGCCGCATGGAGCAGAACTCGACAAGCCACCCAGTACTTAGCAGTCGGCTGAGTATTCCGACCCTGAGTATGGAACCCGCTGAAAAACGGCCGATGTTGTCGACCCAGCAGGACCAGCCCAACAAGGCGCCCTACCAGAACCCCTCCCCTGGGGCATTCCCTGGGACATTCCCTGCGACTTTACCCGGAGCTTTTCCTGGAACGTTCCCTGGGGCTTTCCACGGAGCTTTTCCTGGCACTTTTCCCGGGACGTTTCCTGGGACGTTTCCTGCGGCGTTCTCGGGGACTTTCCCTGGACAATATTCTGGAGGAATTCCTGTGACTTTCCCTGGAACTTTCCCAGGAGCTTTTCCTGGAACTCTTCCTGGAACTCTCGCTGGAACTTTCTCTGGTGCTTTTCCTGGGAGTTTCCCTGGGACGCTTCCTGGAGCGTTTCCTGGCACTCTTCCAAACGCTTTTTCTGGAGGACTTCCTGTGGGGTTTCCTGGGGCTTTTCCTGGAGCTTTCCAGGACAGCTTCTCCAGAGCGAACGCCTTTCCCGGACAACTTCCGCCTGCCTTTAGAGGGACACTTTCGGGCAGCTTCCCCAACACCTTCCCGTTCTCTTTTCCCGTCCAGTCCAATAGGGCGGCGCCACCGACGCCCCGGGCCCTGCCCGCGGTACACTACATGGAGGAACATCCGTCACCTCGGAGGGCATCGCTACCGAAGAAGGCTAGAGCCACCCACAAGTCGTCCCCGGTCTCCAATTCGACGCCACTCTTCGACTCGGCCCAGACGTTTCCGTTTAGCTCGGGGGTAGCGTTCCCCTTCAATCCGCCTCCGGTGCTGACGTCGGGGCCAGCGCTTACCTCAACGTCTGCTTCGACGCGGACGTCGAGTTCGGCTTCTACACAGACCTCAACGATGCTATCTGCAATGCCGGCCAACTTTACGTTGGCTTCGACTTCGGCTTCGACTCCGAGCTCGTTGGTGATTGATCTGGAAGCAGGTAAGCTGCACATCGACCTTGAAGCGGTTCAGGACCGAGAGGCTCCTCAGTCTTCCAGTCCTAAGACAGCGAAGCATCTCTCTACCAAGTCCAACCGTCGACCCGCCGGTAGGTTCGACTTCAATCAAATCATAATTGCCCTTTGTGTATGATGATGTCAGCTGCGTGTTTTATTTAATCTGGCCTCTCAGGTTGTTAGCAAACTACCAAAACAATATGTGTTGATTTGTTTCTACATTTTGGAGGCTCGAACCCGGGTACCCTGCAAACGACCCAGAAAGGCATGAAAGCAGTGCCACTAAGCCGCCACCAGGAACACCTGTGTTTCTAACACCAGAAGATGTTCATCTGACGATTTAAATCCGAAGGCCGTCCATTCATAGCGATTAAGAACTAAACCGGGTAGTTTTGTTTTGTTCGTTTTTTAATACTTTGTACTCAGCATGTGTTCCGTCGCGTGAGTAGCGGGTGGAACAATGCAAAACGCGAATCTGTGCGAAATTCGATAACGTTTTGCAGAGATTCGTGTGAAAAGTAAGTTTTGCGTTCAAATCAAATCAATCAAAATTTTTGGAACACCCGTTTGCGCAATTTCCGGTTTATTAAGTTATTTTACTTACTACATTTGCCAAGTTTTTCGGAGACACTACGTTCATAGCCTGTGGTATTTTCCATTCGCGTCTGCCCGGAGGGTGGAATTTGCGGTATGTTTAGTTAGTTTCGTTAAAGCTCCCAAGTGATGCTTCAACAATTGACGATAAAAATTATGGGTGTTTTTCACAACACCGATCGGTCCTTGTCGCGGTATTTAATGACTCATAGTAATATTTCACCTGTGCCCTTTTTGGTTTTCTGAAATTTTCCTTTTTAGTATTCGGCCATCGTGTGTAAAAGAATAGACGCAGAGGGAACCTGAGTATATGCCGTTTGAATTCCTCGCAGACGTGCGGCCCAATTCAGCCTTGAACGTCCCCATGCAATCTCTGAAGATCGGATGCTTCACGGTAAGCGGAACTGATGCTTCGGACTGCAAATTATAAACCATTCCAGTTGTCGACTTCTGCCTCCTTTGTCCAAGGGGTTGTGGCCAGTGTAGTAAGCGTTGCCGAAAAAAAAAAAAGAAACAAACTATGTTACTCGTTACTTGAAAATAAAAGAATCGCGTTACCTACATACGTTACCTCAAAATAAAAGGAACGCGCTACCGACAAGAAGTAACGCACGGTGTTTTTTTATTTACGAATTAAAACGTTTTACTGTTTTGGCATAAAACGTCAGGCTGTACCTATAAAATTTGGCAAAAGTTTAATGCTATGTGGGACGACTGGAAAAGCTCGTATAACTTGGCGCCTAGAAAAAAAAAAATTGCGTGCCATTTTTTTTTAAGTTTTAAGAAGATGTAAGGCGAAACGTAGCTACGTAACCCGACACTCGAAATGGGTAACGTAACCCATTGTTTTGAAACTGTTAGTTTTGAAACAGTAACGACTACTTCACTTACATTACGAAAATAAGTGATCCGTTACCGGTAACGATGTTACTTATAACGCATTACCGCTAACACCGGTAGTGGGACATGTCCCGAGCATTCCCATCATAGCAGTCTTCTGCGAAATATCAAACGCCGTGCGTATACGTCCACGGCCCAGTGACGAGGCATTTTTCGCCTCTGTAATAAGCGCTGCGAAAAGTTCGCCTGCCATGAATGTAACGCATAAACTGAAAACGAGTTCTGGTGACCTTTTAGTCTTGATCACCTGCTGCCCAGAAAAAGAAAAGGGAAATCTAGGGTCGTAATAAGGTTCACGTGATTCGATGATGAATTGCAGTTCCTGCCACAGCCACTGAGTGGCACTTGCGTTTGAAAAGGGTCCATATGATGTTTCGACAAGTAGGTAGAACTACCTTTGGGAATATAGGTGTGTTCCCTTATATTACTCGACACCGTCGTTAGCAATATGCGTCTGCAATCCGAAGAAATAATTTTGTCTCCGGTTTTAAATAGCGGTAAGTCTTCCGAACGTCTAGTCCGCAACGAGACGTTTGTGATTTAATGAGTGTCGAGGGAGACACGACAGACCAGCTGACTATGACTAGAAAGTTTGAAGGCTTGCACCGCGTCTGCCGCGGTACCATTAGCCCTCAGCAGGGAAAGCCGTTGATTGATGCGATTGAAATAGTCACAATAGTGATTGAAGAGGATCTCGGAAGGAATTGATTGTGAAGCTTCTTGCATCTCTTTGTTTAGGTTGAGGGAGACCAGCCTTCAAAAGTAGGATGGAAGTTCAAGGTTGTCTTCAGCAAGAAGTAAGCCCATTGCCTGAAGGTTCTGTTCGCGTAAAACAGTTTGTGTCCCTAGCTGCGTGTATTCAAGAAGCGGCACGATTCATTCTCTCGTCACCGCAAGAGTTCCAAACAGGCACAAACAAAAAAAGAAACCAAACCAAGCTTATTTCACACTGTTCTGGTATGATGGCTGGAATCCCCTTCCAGCCATCATATCAAAACAGTGTGACGGAAGGGAGTGAAGGGCTGCTCCACTGATCTATGACTATTTGCTGGGTCGCGTTTTCCCAGCTCCGCGTATGCGCGGGAATGTGGCCACGGTCGGTCATCTTTTTGGTAGGGAGTTATTTTATCTCTAGCCATCATAGTAATATGGCGCACAGCGCTGTGGGGGCAGGCTGCCACAAAAATGGCCCTAGCTCTAGTATACCGTGGGTGACATTGCGTGCTTGATCGAAGTCGCTCGACGAAGCAGATCCTTAAAACTCGGTGGATGCGACGGAGGACGATCGACTTTGCCGTCATGTTGTGCGGCGCGCTGTTCAAATCGCCCCGATCGCGAAAGGACAGGAACTTACCATCGGTAAGCATTCGGTGTTTTGTGACTACCCCGGCGGGCAGGGATACGTTCGATGAAAAATGTTTATTTGTTCTCAGGGTTTCCACGAAGTTGCTCCGCAACCCTCCAGCTGTGGGTGGAAAACCTGTATCCTATCTAACGGGCGGTAGATTGCTCGCTACCGCCCTCTAGATAGTATCGCGGTGTGACTATAGAAATGATATAACTCTACGAAAAGATGGCCGACCGTGGACCGAAAATTTTCATCGCAACACACGCGCTGCCTGCCGCGTGTGTGTTGAAAGATCACCTAGCTTCTTTATATTTTGACTCAGGTTTCTGCAATTACATAAAAGTGGGCACGTTTTGCGCATTAAATGGGTCGTGCGCCCGAACCCCGCGATAAAAATTCCGCGAAGAAATCTTTGGGGACCGCTAGGGTCACTGCAGCCAGCAGGCGAGTCAGACTCAGCGGCCCCAAAACTTTTGAGAGATCTTACATTACAGAGAGTTTCCAGCTGCACGATGGGAGTCACGTGGTGTATGGACCGCGTTTGCAATACGAGCTGCGAGGAAGTGACGAACGCGTTGGTCGTCTGCGAGCGTTTCAGCCTTTCCGCCTGCTTTCCTCCTCGCCGCGCGGAAACGCGACGCATGCGCACTTGCGACCAATCTTCACCGGTGGCGTCCGCCATTGAATTGCAAACGTACCCCGTGATTTGAGAGGGTCCCTCTCTACAATCTAGGCTCTCAAGATTTTCATCGCGTATCGCGCCCCCTTTGTTATCATTGAGCGCATACCGCGCCCGTCACTTTTCCTCAGCCACCATAGTTTTGGTTTCACAAACCGACATAAACTTCGTCTTCTCTTTCTGGGGTGATCTTTCATGCACCGTATCATGGGGCGCCATATATTTCGGGAAATGTCTATTGTATCCGGTTTCAACTTCTCTTATTTCGGTGATTTCTGCTTTGACGGCTCGTTCCAAGAGTCGGGGGTCACACTGCGGGTCATCGCAAGAGAACTAGGGATGATTAAGTGCTCCTACGTAGCTTTTAGCTGGCGTCTTTTACAGCCATGGAATGAGCGAGCAATGCTTTCACGCGAGATCGGGGTTAATATAAGAAGATATGGTTCCTCGATGTCCTCCGCAGGCGGTTCATGTACGAGTTCGAGAAATCTTCGGTGCCGGACGACTGTGGGTCGCGCTCGACCTGCGTCATTGTCCCATTCCAGGCGGTGTTCGCACTTCGTTGCGAGAAAGACCACGTAACCCTGCAGGTGAGGACTACAATTCGGCGTTCCGACGCTTATGAACAATACCAACTAGAAGAAAAGGCCTGTACCTCCGCCCCCCCCCCCCCCCCCAAAAAAAAAAAAAAAAGAATTTAATAAACGGGTTTACAGCTAGGAAACTCAGGACGGGGGGGGGGGGGGGGGGGGGTGAGAGGGGGAGGAGTCGGGCACCTTATTATATTGCTCCACAGTTTATCAGGTGAGGACATAATTGAATACCCGCAGCCAGTAAGATAACGGCATAAGTCGATAACCACGGCAAATGAGATAACAACGTAAGTCAATAACTATAGCCAATGCGACGATGACCAGTCGATAACCCCAGCCATTGAGATGACGACATAAGTCGATAACCCCCAGCCATTGGGATGACGACATAAGTCGATACCTAGAGCCAATGAGGTGACGACACAAGTCGATAATCACACCCAATGAAATCGGGACGTAAGTCGAGAACCACAGCCAGTGAGATGACGACGTAAGTCGATGACCACAGCCAATGAGTTTACGGCATAAGTCGATGCCCACATCCAATGGAATGACGACGTAAGTCGATGCCTACATCCAATGGAATGACGACGTAAGTCGATGATTGCAGCCAATCAGATGACGACATAAGTCGATAACCACAACGCCATAAAACGAATCTCAAAAAAGCGTGAACGTCAGACGCTCTGCGTTTCTTAAAACTACAGACCAACACGCTGTATAAAACAAGCCCGCGTTTGCCCACACCGTAAGTGGGCACTGCGCGTGCGCAGAAACCAGTTTTAGGTGAGGCGAAGCTTGTGCGCTTGCGCAGTTGCCCACAGTTGCGCCACCGCTGTGGCGTGAAGTCAGAGTTGAGTCGGCGTATATTGAATCCACGCAGTGCCGCATAAATACTCCATTTCACACCAAGTCCGAGCGCAGTCGACGCTACACCCCTCACGCGACGATCCTCGTCCAGTGTGCGTTTGCTATCGGTGGCGAAATCGGTCACGAACATTGAGGAAATGCGCCGTAATCGTATACATTTTTTTTTTTCCTGTGCGCGATCTGTTCGGCCGGCGAAAGCGCACAAGGACGACGCGCGCGTGACGTGGCACTTTTTTGGCGCTGCTTGGCCACATCGGATCGGATCGTAGCGTTGGTTGCGGTTGGACTTATCTCAAAGAGAGTATATTAGTCCAATGCCCGAAATCCTAGCCCCCCCCCCCCCCCCCCCCCCCTGGGAAACGAGAATCGCGAACGCAGGCTCTTGCGAAGGGTGGGGCTGCGCATGAAACGAAACATTTGCTTTTTGCTTGACATCGGTGTTGTTGTTCTTGGAGCTTCGCGACTATGCATTTTTGCACTATGATATATGCAATGGTTTAAAAAGAAAAAAAAAAGGAGTTTCGCAAAAATAGAGTGCCTTCATACACACGCGAGCCTTTGCTTGAGTGGTGACATCTCAGCCATTTTTCCGCTCAATTGTTTTTCATGCCTTTTCAAGTGCGCGCAATCCGGTGTCACTCAGCTCGAGCGCGTAGCTTTGGCTAATGCATAGACGCCATTTTACCGCCCAAGTCATGCAGCGAGTGCGCGAGAGCGTCACGCGCTGGCACATTCAGTGCAACAATGGATGTCTTCACCCTGAGACAGACAGACATGCAGGCACCCTACGCAAAAAGCGCAGCCAGCTCCCTACCGTGTCAATCGCATCGGCATAAACAAACATGGCGGCGACCATGGAACACAGCAGACAGTATACAGACGCAATAGCCCTGACGGTGAGCATTTTCTGACTGAAAGTTTCGTGTGCTGGCTGCGCAGATGGAGTTTGTGCCGGTCATGTTCCTGGGACGGCGAAAGAACGAGGACAGGCCAAGCAGTGTGACCATGCTGGCTAACTTGGCCATGCACCTGGATTACTATCCCGTCCACAAGGTCTATACAGCGGTTCATTTTGGGACTTCGTGCCCTGTCGAATGATCTTTGTTTCTGTGCTCTTCTGTGCGTGGACAGGCCTCGAAACACGCTTTGACCAACCCCCCGCACCGCCGTGTGGTTGGGCCCGCATGTCTTTATAAGGCTGCTGTCACATTGCTCGTACATCGTGCAGAAGACATGACGTTCGCTGTGGACCTGATGACAGCCATCTGTGGACACGTCACGAGCATATTCGAAGCGCTTCGCAGATACGCGTGCCTCGTGTGTCTTTATACGTGTGCCTTTTATAGCTTGCAATATCAACTATGACAGAGGCTTTAGTATCACGCGTTGAAACATTCAGTACAACGTTCTAGATAATAGCCCGCGGAACATATGTTCCGTTGTTAGCTAAAGCTAGGCGTCGATGAAAACTTTTAACCCGGTTAATCGGTACTCTTTAAATTAATCGATTGATCGGTCGTGTTAATTTCCGGGTTAATAGCGTAAAAAGGGCAAAAGCACATGTTTTCTGTAATGTTTTTTTTCCTCTGACAAACACCGCAATGTGCATTTTCATCTGTGGATAAGGCTGGTATTGTTATTCTCAAGTTTTCCGCCAACGAACATATTATAATGTGCGTTTAGAAAGAGAGTTTCAGTAGATTGTTCCGATACCGGCGATAACGATAAGATAAATGCACGAAGGCGGTGGCGGAGTATCGGGTATCGTTATCGGAGTCATCGGAGCAACGTACTAAAACACTCTATTGATGAAAATCACTGGGGTAAAAAACAAAACAAGAAAACCCGCTAAGTTTTTACTTTGGGTTTGGTTCAGCCGGTTTTAAGTTCAACGGATTAACCAGCTAAAAAAAATAACTCGCGATCAATGCTATAATCGATTAATCGGAAGGTTAATCAATCACTCGGCCAGCCCCAAGTTTTTACTAATTGACTCTACCATTCTAAGTATAAAATGCGTTTATGTTCATTTTCCCTCTGTGTTTACGATATTTTCCTTATTTCTGGCGTGTCTTACGACTGCCACAACTCGGTGCTGGACTCTGTGAGACGCGAATACGCAGCAGGACTTTTCCGAGTCTAGGGTGTCGCGTGAGTCCCGTTGGCCCATGCGTGCTCAGGTGCAGCTGAGCGCGGAGGACGTGGACCGGGTGAAGAGGAGACTGTGGGACTACAGTCCGCGGTTCCAGGATCTCATGCGACGGCCCATCTCCAGCGAGGACACCAAGCTGCAGCACCCGCTGCCCCCGTACGGCGCCTTGGCCCGGGCGGCCATGCGAGGGGCGGAGATGGGAACGGGTCAGTGCGCACTCACTTTGGAATCTATACGGTTTCTTTTTTGTGCCTTTTCTTACGGGAGTGTCCAAGAGTCTTCGACCGATCTCTGGTAACCGATTTTTACAGCGGAGCTGTGAAGGGCTGGTTTCCCCAGGATCGTGTCCGTCCGCAAAGAAATGTCGACGCAAAACTCTGGTTGCCGCCGTCGCTCATAGATGGCGGTAGCTGTCCAGAGTGTTTGCCGGTTGTCTGGTTGCGTCGTCGCTCATAGATCACGGCAACCTTTCGAGCCTTTCCACTCATTCCCACCATCGTAGAGCTTCGCTGGTCTTCCTCCTTCACCAGGGTGGAAAGGCTGAAAGTTTTTCAGCTGCTTTTGTTTTCACTGCACTGTTCGAACGCGTTTAAAGGGAACGCCGGAGTTCCGCGTTGTAACGCGTTCGAGTGCAGTGGGAGGCAAAGGCCGCTATAGCTTTGCGGCTACCCCCTAATCATTCCAATCAGAGCTCGGTGTTCTGACGTCACGGCGTCCTCTCGTCTCCTCCTCTCCCTCATTTTCTGTCCGCATTAGATGGCGCGCGCTTTTGGGGTCTGTTGGACACGAACAATTTCATGTACGCCGCAAGGAGCGGTCACACGATGAAAATCTTTTGTCCTCACATTTCTCCGTTGTATGCAATAGCGTCTCCTTACGGAACTGATATGAAAGGGCTCTATCGGAACCTTCCAGATCTCCTGGCGTGGATCTGGGTTCGTGCGATGCCTCGCATTCTTCGAATTCCTAAACAGTCGTCTTCCTCCGGTTTTGTGATATTGTGAAACGACAAGAAATCTACTCACCGCACTTTCTGCTTCTCTATATGCCTCATGGTCCACGCGTATGCGGGCACAAACTGACCGAGAGGAGAGCGCGCAGTGGCATCAGAAGCTCGGGTCAGAGCGCCCCCTATAGTTCGATCTCCTGCCCAATATGGGCAGGAGATCGAACTATAGGGGGCGCTCTGACCCGTTTGTTTTCCCCACGCTCGGTGTTTACTCAACACAAGGCCTGTACACATGCCAACAGGCCTTATGGGCATGGCCATGTCATCTTCTACAATAGAGCGCGGGGCACAGTTTAATGTAAAAAATACTAACAATCGACGAAGCGACGTTAAGTGCCGGATCTATCTTCTGAGAATGCGAGCTTGACCCACTTCGGCTTTTTTGCTAAGCTGGGATCGTGCATGCTGCATTGTTCATGCAGGCCGTCGTGGAAACAAAAGAGCCCCTCCTCCCCCTCGCCGGAGAACACGAACTCCAGTCGAACGCTGACGCCGCGTTCGGTTATGTCGGCCGAGCGCTGCGTCATTGTGTTTGTTGTCCCCATCCGTGTAGTTGATAAGTTAACCGCTTGGGGCGTAACGGTCTGTCCTCCTCCCCAATACTCCGTTTATTCTTAAAAAAGGAACTCCGGCGATATTTTGAGCAACCCCAACTAACCATATATTCGAAATCGCCGTCCGTTACTCTTTTCGGTATGTTATTTAGTATCGCGAAATTCAGAATAGTTATTGTGAAATCGGCAAATGAAAACGACGCCAAAACGAAGATTCGAATATACCCGCGCTTTTCATTGCCCTGACGTCACGGTTGGGCTGGATTGCGGTTCGAGCGGGCAGTCTAAATATGAACTATGCCGAGCATTTGTATCGTGCTGCTGCGTGGGAGCTGGAGCGACCTTCCAAAGCATTCATTTGACACCATGAAACGGTTTGTAATCAGATGTGAACAAAGTCTACAGCCCAAAGAGTGAACTCCTACCCAACCATGACGTCACTTTTTTAATGTTGCCCGTAGAGCTTTTCACTTTGAAAAACACGATGAGGTCCAAAATTGTAAATTCTGTAACTGCACGAAAAAAGTTATTTTGTCCAAATATTTGGGTTACTAGTTCAGCGATGTTTGTTGGTGTGTCTAGCAAGCTTTTAGGCCAATCGGGGACTATGAAGAAAACGGCGGAGTAGCCCTTTAAAGGCCGACGACCAGACCCGAGATTCTGCAAGGCAGAAGATCCTCCTCACCATGGGGGAGGGGGAAACAGGCAACGGTGGACAGGGTAGAAGGGGGGAGAGGAGGAAGTGGGAGAAAAGTGGAAAGCGCTAACTGGGGGGTCGTCGGTCTTTAAGCTGAGACTAGAAGCTCCGCCCTCAGCGGGAGCTTGCTTGCTTCCGCAGTGCGTTGTTGGCGCGTGCCGGCGCGCTCACACTTGTGTTAACAAGGGTAGAACATAGAAAGCTCCGCCTTGTGTTAACACAAGGTGGAGCTTCTAGTCTCAGCTTAGGGGTGAACTGCGGATAGACGCAAGCTAAACTCTGAGCCAACATTCTGTGGCCTTTCCAAAGAGAGAGAGAGAGAGAGCCCACAGCTTGATTCTCGCTCAGTCTGGGAGAGGGCACGTATGTCCGTACCTTTAAAGGCTCGTTCACGCAGATGCGTTGCACCGGGCAGCACAGCGCCTCCCCATTGGCTTGTCGTAAGGTTCGCCATAGCAACAGCTCGACGCAAGCAGTCTTAACGCTGTCAAACGGACCGATGTGAACGGGTCTTAACTGTATTGCCACGGAAAGTTACCCCTGATTATAGCTGTCTTTGTTTCTACTCGCATACCCATTCCCTCGACTTCGGGGGCGAGCATCAGTCGGAGAAGATGCGACATGATAATAATAATCATAATCAATAATAATAATTTAAAAAAAGAAGACTTGTGTTTACGTTTTTGCAGCCTCAATGGGCGTCTGGTGTCTCCGCTTTAGATAATTTAGCCAGTACAGTACAACCGCTCTAGGTGCGACATGACATGGCGACTCTTTTTTTTTTTTGCCAATGGCCACAGGTTCGACATCGCGCACACTTGAGAATTCTTAACATGCGTGACCAGACACAGTGCCCTAATGTCGCCTAGAAGGAAAAGGATTGGAAGCATTCAACTGTCCACTTTGTTGCAGGATCTGCGAGAGCGTTCCCTTAATTAAGACGTGCGTCGTCCTGGGGGTCACGTGACTTTCGGACGTGTCCTGCTGCCCAAGCGCCTCGTTCAGATATCAATTTCTAGAGTTACGTTTCCGCACTTGTGCCTTCAATGGTATATTGCTGGTAGTTGGAGATTTGTAATGCTGGTGAATCCATAGCAGAGCAATTCCATGATTCCATGCTGTGCCTATATTTTGTTTCACTTTAACATATGGTCTAACCACCAAACCCACTTGTTGCCTCGCTGTCGGAGGCCGCCATCACTAGGAGGGGGTTTTAATCGGAATAGACCCAACTTTTTAAACCGTGAGGAAGACGTGTCCCGACTATACTTCCTTCGGGCCACGACAGCATGTCTCAGGATGATGGCGAGGACTCGAACGATGTGGCAAATCTTCTGGATCACCACACTTAGCGACTTGAGGCCGCTCTTCACGAAGATCGGCTCCCTCCTGACCCTCCTTCAAATAATAATAATAGTTTATTTCTACTACATGTAAGGGTGGAGCCAAGGAAAAAAAAAAGCCGCGCTGCGCGGCTTGACCAGTTCATGGCCCCAGTACATTCTGCAGCAGCTTCAGGAAATCAGTATCAAAACAAGATCACATATAATTAATCACAAAAACGAGAAACGTAGAAAATTGAAGTTACTGAGCACCGTATTAGTCACAAAACATGTTTAAACTGAAAAAAAAACGCAAAATCATGCATGATAGAGCTCAATTCACGCAGAGTTAATCTACTTTTCCGCACGCGGATTCAGGTGGTTTCGTTCAGAAATCGGCATTTTGTTGCACTGCCGGATTCACCTGAGCCAACGGGCGCCTTTCAGACGCAGCGGGCGGGAAGGTGCAGCAGGCGGGTCGTCGCCGCACCATCAGGTACGAACCGGACACGACGCTCGTGCAGCAGGCCGCGGTGGTGACCGCGGGGACCATCTGCTCCTGCCGCTTCAACTGCCGCGGGATGCGATGCCCGTGCGTGAGGGCGCGCAGGCACTGCGAGCCCGGTCGGTGCGGGTGCGTCGCCTGCGACAACCCGCTCAACTTCCTGTCTTCAGTGGGCATCGAGCTGGATCGTGCTCGCGAGGATGCTTGCCTCATGCAGGCCGTCTACAAGGTGGGCCTGCTTCTCCGTCGTGGCATGTCTCGTGTGCGACTCGGTCGCGACTCCAACTAACTATAGGTGGCGCCACTCATTTTTCAAGATGGCGGGTTTAGTGAGGGTGAGAGATGCGTGCCGCTGTTGAGCCTGTATAGTGTGCTGGCTTCACTGAGCGACATAGATTATTTCTGGTAATACGAGGAAGCTAGGGTGTTATGAGCGTAGGTCACCTCTTTAACCCGAAAACAAGAACTGTGTTTAGCGTATTAATTACGGAAGGATGCGCGTTTTAATTCTGGAGCGAAACCGAAACTTACCTCTATTTTGGATTTAATTTCTCGACAGAGGTCTTAATTTAGGATTCTTTCATGACTCAAGATACGTCTCACATCGTAATTATTTACTTAGAAAAGTTGTTCGCGGAAACTTTATTTTGTGACATACTATTCGATCTAGGTTGATATTCGTAGTTGTTGAAAAACTCTGTGCTGATATCTGTGCGTTCTCGCTGCAGATAATTGTCATGAGAAATAATGACAATTATCCCAGCACAAGAATAAGAGAATAATTCCAATTTTTACAATATGTCCACGAAACGCATAAACTAATAAACGCTGCTCTCACTGCAACAACCCAAGACGGAATCTGAGTCAGACAGCTGAAGTGTGTGTGTGTGTTTTTTTATAGCAACGCGTGACGCGTACCGGGACTTCATATTACATCCAGCGTTTAACTGTTTGTCTATCTTGATAACTATGTCAGAGTTTCTCATATGCTAAAAAGAAAACAGAATTATACCTTTCTGGAAAGACTGTTATGGTTAAATAGAGTATTCTCGTGATCTTGGCGTTAATTAGAGGCATAAATTGCCGCGATTTGCATTAATAATAATAATATTAAAATTCACATGTTTGAATAAGTAACTCTTCAAGGCTCTAATATAATTTTTCGCTTATGATCTAATTTTAAACGCGCGAAGAAATATGACAATGGAAACTGTTCTAATTATCATCACTGGTTCCAATTGCTGAATTTTAATTACAAATAAAATAAAAATAGTCTAAAATCAATGAAAACATTGTAGCTAATGTTAGAAATCCATGTAAAATTACATTAATTGTGGGTAAAGTATATTGTGCTATCAAAGTCGCGACCTTTGACAATCGGCGAAACGTCCTAAGTCGCCACCAATATGCCAAATGCCCAAAAGCTAAAAAAAAAAAAAAAAACTTTTTTTTTAATTACTAGTTTTTTTATAACATTTATTTACTTTTGTATTTGCTCGCCGTCGTTTTGCCAGTCTCAGCCTTTCCAGTTCGAAGGAACGCCAACCTGCTTGCTCGTCTGCTCACTGCAGCAGGTTTGGTTGGCGTTGGAAGTCGGTGAAACAGTAGAGAGTTTTAGTAGATCGTTCCGATACCTCCGATAGCCCCGATAACGATACTATGCATGCGCAAGGGAGGCGGTGGCGGAGTATCGGGTATCGTTATCGGAGTCATGGGAACGATCTACAAAAACTCTCTAGTAGTGAGTTTTAATATTGCGCGTACGAGCGAACTCAAGCCCTGTGTGTTTGCGTTAGCTTTGCGCGTTCCACACTGCGCATGTGCGGAGCCCGAAATCGCGGTCTTGGATGGCGCATGGCGATGAGGCGCACGCACAACGTGGGGCACGCAACTCTAACGCAAACGCACACCGCCTGCGTTTGCTTCTATGCGCAATACTAAAACACTCCAGTGAGGTACAATTCCATACCGGCTGCAGCACTACGTTGGGACAGTGAAGAGTGTTGTTTGCATTCGGAAACGACATTTCGCGAGCTATGATCGCGAGCAGTTCCGCCATGCCCGCTGAGCAGGAGAATCGGGGGACCCTCACTAGAGCGCTTCCCGTTTCCGCCGCGGGAGGGCGAGCGTCGAGCTGGAGTAGTATTTGCCTCACCGGCGGATAGAGGGCGCTGACGCACTCGGCGCCATTAGGTTGCTTCAATTTGGTTGGTTTCGGTTTCAACGAGAACTCGCCTGTGTTGCTGTTTTACGTTGTTTTTGCTTAATTTTGTGATACGGTTATTTTCTTTGTAGCACACAACCAATGAAACAGTGGTATTGAACCACTTTGAGGACTACGAGGTGTATTTTATTTTAGCCTAAACTGCGGGCTTTTTGACCAACTCCTTTGGTGTATCTGATTATGGTCGGTTGCGAAACGCCTGACTGATGGACAGGGACGATTACCACCGTCTGCGGCCGTGCCCGTGCCCGATGACCCCCCCCCCCCCCCCCCCCCAACCTGTATCTAGAAAAACAAACTAATGAAGAGACTAACACGTGAATGTAAAGAAGCATATAGACAGCTTGATTAGCAATGTGCTGAATCGGCCAGAACAGATGAACTCGCGAGTTTACTACTCACTGTTTGGTTTTTGGGGGCACCGAACATTTAGTGAACTTCGCAGCCTTAAAACGTATCGTGTGGTGACGCAGATAATTGATATAGCCAAGTAGTATCATCTCGGCCTTTTTTGTTTAACTCAGTACTCGACTATGCTTTGACAGGTTGAGTAGGAAATCTCTTAATTATCAACCCTTCTAAAGTACTCATAAGCAGCATTTCGCGGTATTGGCCTTAGGAAATAAATTATTTTTATATTACCATTTGCTTACTCAAGATATAAGTGACAGTCCCGTTAAATTAAATCTGGCATCTGCCTTCCGTATAATTGGCCAAATAAAATTAAAGGGCGCAGGAGGAGAAATACCTCGGAAAGTTTGGCTGAATTCTTGCGCTAGGCACTACCTCACTGACCTGTGTGAACAAATATTTATTTGTTTGAACAGATTCGCTCTGTAAATTTCGGCGTCGCCAGCCACCAAAAGTAAAGCTGTATTCGCCATCGACAATCCTGGACACAAGTGATTGTTATGCAGACGGCTCTTTTTCTTTTTTTTTTTCGACGTCAATTATTACGGACTCCAGATACAGGCAAAAAATTAAAATAGCGTACGCAAAACAAGAAAAAAAAAGTATCGTCATTATTTTGCATGCGCCGAACCCAAACCGCGTTTTGGATTTGTAAATAGAAACGACGTTATTTCTTTGTGCACGCTATTCTAAAACTCGCTACTGCTAAGTTTCTGTGGTAGTTTCTTACGCGGGAAGGCTCAACCTTTGTGCTAAGATTAATTAAGTAAATGGCACTGGACTGGTTATCTAAACATAATCAATCAATCAATCACTTAAATGACTGTCGAAATCTGAGCGAGCACGGTATATATATTTTTTAAGCTTCATAGGTAAACCGACCGACTGAATGTTTACGTCACAAAAAAAGATTGAGAACCTCAAACACAACTATATGTGATATTATGAACAAACAAATCGCCTGATGTTAACGTACCATTACTTTTAGCCTCCGATAATATACAAGATAAACGTTCGTTGTCTATCCTTTCCGCGAGTTTCCTCACATAATCAAAAGAAACTGTATTCGATATATTATGAATACAAAGAATTATACTTTCAGGAAATACAGATAGACTCCTTGCGCTGAGTATTCTTGACGCCTTCCGATCCTAAATGCGCGATATAAATATATACGCACTTCTTACTGAGAATGTTCCGTCACTTTTAATAAACAAAACTCAATTTCATAAGGATCTTTGACCCCTCGTGATGTCTTCGTCGTCGAGTAGTTTCCGAAGTAAGGCAAGAAAGTGCGGTGAAACGCGACGAAAAACACGAATACAACGCATCCGCCAAGGCGCGGAGGGGAGAGCGGAGCAGCAAGTTGAAGCAACAATGGCTGCCGCGTCACGTGATTCCAAGATGGTAGCGCCCATGAGGAGGAGGAGGATGAAAAGGTATATACCGGGTTAGATCCAGACAATGAAACCCGGCGTTTCGGCCCGCATAAGTAAACTATGTGGAGCGCAAGTTCGTCTGCTTCTTTTGCAAGGGATTCTGGCGACGTCAGAACGCCGAGCTCTGATTGGCTCCGATTGAAGGATAGTGGGTAGACGTCACAGCAAGCTGTTTTGAGATCTACCCACTATCCTTCGAACAGAGCCAATCAGAGCTTGGCTTCGTTCTGACGTCACCACAACCCCTGCAAAAGAAGCAGACGAACTTGCGCTGTGCATACGCTTTGTAGAAAGCTGACTCTGGGAAAATCTGGATGTGAAAGTTTGAGAACATGACGTTACCCGAATCAAAAGTCAAGGGGAAAAGACGAGCTTTTTCGATGAGCCGACATCCACCTAAGCCTAATTCCGTTAAAACAAGAATAAAGGCCCGTTCACACTCTTGCGACCGAGTAAGACCGAGAGAGACCAGACTGGTTTTTAAGCCTCTTGCGATCTCCTAGGACCAGCTCCGCGCTGCAACGCATCCGCTCCTAAGAAGTCGCAAGATGCTTAAAAACCGGCCTGGTCTCTCTCGGTCGTACTCGGTTGCAAGAGTGCGAACGGACCTTAACATTGAGGCTGCCTCTTGTACTTATTTCAGCGAAAGAAACTTGTTAGCGAGAAAGACAATATTGTTTTCTTTCCTGTTGATAAGTTCGTTTGGTCGGGTTTGGCACTGGCCTCACTACGAACATTTACCAAGAGCGTCACGGCCCACCTGCGGAGCATCTAACTAAATTTGTGTCCTTCCCCGGAACTTACCCGTTCATCTATGTACAGGTTCTAGAGTTTTATTATTTTTCTTTTCTTTTTCTACCATAAAGGCAATGTGGACTCCTTGGTATGGGCGTAATGCCCGCTCGCAGTTGCTTTACCCTCCCGGGTTGAACCAATAAACAAACAGACAAACATGCACGGCGGATGACTGACTTTTGGGGAAAGGGGGGGTCTATTTCACGTTCATTGCGTGACCGAAATGAGCGACACGAGTTCCCCCGCGGGCCTGCAGGTGGGCGACCTGGCGGCATACCTACGCCAGCAGGTCCGCCTCAACTGCTGCTCGGAGACCGTGACGGTGCGAGACTGCATCCCGGGTCCGATCAAGTGCCCGCGCTGCGCCGCGCCGGCCGAGTTCTCCTGGTGCGCCGACACGCTCTTCCACGGACCGACCAACCACTGCTCCAAGTGCATGCGCTGCAACCTTTTCGCCGGGGCACACTGCAAGGTACACCTCCCGCAGCTCTCCGAACGAAACGCACAAACATGCTTAAGAACAGCTCGTTGCAGACATGATGCAGATATCCCTCATTGCCTGGTGATAGATAGGGGAAGAAAATTGGCTTTGAAGGGCGGGAGGAATCGTATGTTTGTCTTTTTAGAATTGTGCTAGGTGGCGCAAGCTACCGCCCGTTACAAAGGGTATAGCGAGTGACCTCCCTCCAACATCCGTGCATCCATAATGACAGAATGGTTTGCGGATTCGCCTCGAGCACCTTCGAAGCAAGCTATAGCTCGATATATATGCAGTCTTGTACACGTTACTGAAAGAAAAGAATCGAATAAAATTACAATTAAAAAGTATTCATTTAAGTTACTCGATCACTTGAGAAGAATAGTTGGCTGTTACCTGAAAAAATTAACCTTTACTTTTTTCGGTTATATCGGATTTTCAAAACGACACATTTTTCTGCCGGCTTGAAAACGGATATTTCGTATTGTTCCTTATTGGAATAGAATCGGCTAATTATGAATTACTTATCCCCTTAATTCACCAACTTCGATAAACGTTCCACTTGTCGAAAACTTGGTTCGAGGATTCTTTGGTATAGGAAACTTGCCCAAACAAAGGGCACCGTAAGAAATCGGAGGGGAAAATTATAACGGTTTTAAGTAATTTTAGTGCCTCAAAAACGAATCCAATTACTCTTGCGATGACCTCCTGATAAAAGCGATCAAATGATTACAGAGATATCCCAAAACCTAATCAATTACAAACAATTTGATTCCTTCTAATGAGTACCCTACAAGTCTAACATGTGTAAACTTCGAACGTATAGTCTCTTCTTGTGTGACCGGTGTGACAGGTCCGTCGTACAGGGAAGAAACAGCCCTACTACAGTGTCTGCAGACTTTTTTTTTTATAATGTATTAGCAGGCAACTGAAAAAAAAATCTGGAAATAGGCTTGTTGCTTTCGGCCAGGGGGCTCTGTAGCGCTCACGAGTCGCGACCACAAAAGAGGTTCCTTCGCTGGCGTCCGCGAAGCGTGACCATTTAATGCTGACGTGAAGTGGCGTCCCAGCGTCCCATTATGCACCTTCCACAGGCGTAACCTAGCGTCTGTGAGCGTCGTTCCTCAGCGTCTGCTCATGGTTCATGCGCACTGACAGAGCTTTTGAAAGGATGCAACGCTACGCACAGCGAAAACGCGACCTAGGAATATCTGATGTTGCTCGCCAGGGACGCTGTTCAAAACTTGAGAGCTACGGTTCTGTGGAAGAAACGTCGACCCAGTATTATGTCTGTAATCGTCTTCAAACTGTCTTCGGTGTCAGCATCTCTTTCTCTCGTGACCGTGCATGGGCCCGCTGACATATGTCCGTCATTTAAAAAGGTCCCCAAAAGTTGCGGTATCAGCAGTGTAAAATCCGAAAAGAAAAGCAAGCAGACAGCGCGTCCAACGAGAGAAAAATAATTTTTAATCGCGTAATAGAAGCAAAGCAGTAACAGCTTGAGCGCGCCGAACGTTTTGGGAGACACTGAGGTGACGCCACCGAGCTTGTGTCCAGCTCTCCAGAGCTGTTCGAAACGTCCCTCGCGAAGTACGGTGGCTCGCGTGACCTAACCAAGAAGGTTCAGTTATACATAGTGTAGTGCCAACCATGTTAGACCTGCCTTGATCAAGTGTGCCCGTGCTTCGCGTTACTGCTGAAAATGGTCATCAGATCCTGGCATATGCCGCCGTTGGGAAAGGTGTTTGGCCAAAGCTGTTGATCACGGGATGGCGGTGTCCTGTTCATGGTGTACAAGACACCTACTATTTTAATGTGAACACCACGCGCCTCGCAGTTCCGAGATGAAGTCCGCTCTTCGCCTGGCACCACCAGGTGACTCTGATCAGCGGCCTTTGGTAGCCTGTCGCGGACTAGGGTCTTCCATGCGTATCTGTGGGAGACATGCTGACTTTTAAAGTCGTTTCTTTGCATCGCGTTTCTTAGAACTTGGCACTTGAGCTACCCGTGTTGCTTAGACACAACTGCGCAATAATCCTATACTTTTTTTAGAAGTTTTATGCACTAGGGGCCGCAAGAACAGTTCCATATGGGAGTTAAAACGAAAAGATTCTGCTTGCTCTGTGCTCGTCGCAGACGCTGAGCAGAACGGAGAGCGCCCAGGTGCCGTGGCAACGAGTTACTTTTCTGTTTTCACTACAGTTGCGTCGATTGGCCGGTGGAGGACGCTGTCGGCAGCGGCCCGTAGGGCGCGCGTTATTAGGATGATATATGGTCGATTGCGTCTCAGCCTTCGAGGTGCTCTGTGCCGTATACCACCTAAAGAGTACCTTGACACCGTGGTCCCGTTGCAGAAGTGCAATTCCTGCTACTACTTCGGCCTGGGAAGCAACGGCTGCCCCAAGTGCGAACCCTCAGAGCAGACTCCTGCCGAAGGTCCGGACCTGTCGAAGACGGAGGCTATCCTGGCGCAGTGTGCATTCCCCGCACAGCTTCGGCCCTCGCGGGTTCAGCGCTCGGGCCCCAGACCCCTGCTGCCCAAGCCCGCGCAAGCCCCACAACAGGTGAGGATGTTGACCGGTGGCTGAGTGTGTTAGTATGCATGGTGCCTCGAATACCTACATACAATGTATGCATGTATGTGTCTATTAGTAATTTAGTCTTAGACATCAGAAACTTATGGGTTCCGGCCTGCTCCCGTGGTGACCTAACTCGACAGAGTTGAACAAAGAATACAAATACCAACGCGTCTCCAACTGGTGTGTATACCGCGTACTAAAAAGTGATCCTCCGATTTCCGCCTCATGACGTCACAGAAGTGTCACGCAGTCGCCGGCCGCGACTTTGGCGGCGGGACAGCAGTGGTGGTCGATGTGGCAGGCGCCTGTTCTGCCGCAGGTCATTCTCCAGCCAGACAATCCGCGGGAGCTTAGGTAGCCGGGAGTTGGGACACTGCGACGACAGAGACTCTTCTCATTCGCTCGTACTTTCTCCGCCAGGACTTCTAGCACCAACCGCCAGGATCGCGACATTCCTACAGCGTGATACTTTTGCTCTTTTGACGTCGGTCGTTGCCCTCCGGGACCACTTGTGATGTATGGGCGGGATAGGTCTACTTTAGACACACCACTCGAAGACGCGTTCCGGGCAACGTGGTATAAGCCCACCACAGCTCGGAGCACCTGGAGCAAAAGCTCGCGCTGCAGAATCCCGGAACCCTGGGGTCCCTACTCTATACTCGGCGAGAACAAGCGGGAATGAGGGACATTGATCGCCGCCTGCTGCCATTCGTCAGCGGTGCGGGGCTGGCGAATCGCTGCAGGCGGCGACGTCCCGGTCCCCCCGTTCCACCTGCATGGTCTCGCCGTCAAGAATAGATAAATTTCCACCCCGTGCCCGTGTCGACATGAATTAGCACCGTACCGGCGTGTGTTCGTGAAATCACTGCTGCGTGATGCACGGTAAAGGCCTACTGTACTGGATAACTCCTGTGTCTACGGCTGAACCACCAGACGGCTATTGGGGCTGACTAAGTTCCCACTGTCTTAAGCACAAACATTTCTCTTTTTTTTTCTGGCAACGCGTAGTTGGCGGTTCATGCCGCTCCGCAGGAGGAAACGAAGGTTCCATCGTCAGCAGTTTACTTGTACATCGCTATGCTAAATAACGCGGATAGGGAAGTTGCCGCGGTGCCGTTAACAGAAAGAAAGGAGAGAAAGAACGAAGATGGGACAAGACACATATTTTTTCTGTTGTGTCAAATCCGTTGCCATCTTTTTTTTTTTTTTTCTTTAAATTTCTTACAGTTTATAAATGACAGCCCGGAATTTATTGCCCAAACTGAGAATCTGGCTCAGTCTGAACGTGGCACATTTACCATTGTCTTCGACTCTATTTTAGTGTTAATTACAAAAAAAAAATCAGTAGGTCGGTCTTGGTGTACTATCATTACTGTCTTAAATATAGTTCTAACATTAGGGGGGTACGAGCACTTCTCTTTAATATGTACAGCTTGTTTAACAAAACTCCCTGCGTATTTATTGCAATCCTATCTAGAGAATTTTGGTAGTGCCGAGAAACGTTTAAAATGTACCGTAGAAGAACATGTAACTTGGCTAGAAGGTGAACGGAATCGGCCTAGTTGATGGACGCGCTGGAGGGGACGAGATATGTATCAGTCTTTCCTGCACTTTTCAAATGTAGTTGTGAGTGGCACCTTTGCATGTGCTCCTTCTTTCTTGTTTCTTTGCGCTTCACTGCATACTTGTAAACATTCAAAAGTTCCCAAGGCGAAGTTCTTAGTAGTCTTTGTTGTGTAATCTTTTTAAAGCTGCGGTCACACTGCAAGTGACGCATCGTACAAAAAAGGGTTTACAAACACCGTCTGAGGCGTGTTTTTACGGCGGAGCTGTTGAGGGCTAGCTTCCCCAGGATCGTGTCCCCCGCAAAGAAATGACACCGAACTCTGGACACCTACCGCCATCTATGAGAGACGGCGGCAAGCCACGTATCTGGTTGCCGGTGTGTTGTTGACTGTTAATGACACAGAGCGCTCTCGGTAGCCTCCTGTCTAGACGCCATGTTTATTCTATATCTCCAAAAACCCTCGTCGTTCTCCTCTTCTTCAGCAAAGCCTAACAGCACATCTCCCCCCTTTAAAACTGAAGTCTATTTACAGGTTTTACAACTCTTCCACTTCGTGTCGTGTACTCAGTCGATCCGATGTCTGGTGCTGCACTTTTATCGGTGTCTTCACTTTCAGGCACCGGTGTAAGAGCAGTCGATCCGATGTCTGGTGTTGCACTTTTATCGGTGTCTTCACTCCCAGGCATCGGTGTAAGATGAAAGCTGTTACGGCGAAGAGTATCTGAATAGGTGTCCACTAAGTATGACCTTGGGTACTCCGTTGCAGATTGTACTGTTCCTCTTTTTCGCTGATCGGTAATCCAGACCACATCTCCTCTTCTCAATGGTTTGCGTTGTCTTACACCCCGTCGTCTGTCATAGTTGGCCTTCTGTTGATTTGTTCTTTTTCTTTCCCACCGTTGGAGTTCTTTGGTATTCACAAACCTAGGTTCCAAAGAAGAGGAAACAGATGGGACGTTCTCAGCTTGCGACCCATGAGTAATTCGGCTGGACTATATCCATTTCCCAATGGTGTTGCACGGTAGGATTGCAGTGCGATGTAGCTGTCAGATGTCTTCTTGAGGCTTCTCTTAATAATTCTAACAGCAACTTCAACAAATCCATTGCTCTGTGGATATCTTGGACTGGACGTCCTGTGTTCAAAACCCCATTCCTGGGCGAACTGCTGAAATGCACTTCCAATGATTCGCTGGAACTGTGGTCCATTGTCACTGAACACAACTTCAGGCGTCCCATGTCTTGCAAAAATTGACTTTAGGTGTATTATTACACCGTTTGATGTCATAGTATTCAAAAGAGCAATTTCTGGATATCTCGAGTAATAGTCAGTTACTAGAAGATAGTTCTTTCCTGACAGGTAGAACAGATCCATTGCTACTTTCTGCCATGGACGCTCTGGAAAGTTGGATGGCATCAAAGGTTCATGGCGGTTCGACGCTTCTTTGATGCATTCTGGACATCTGCGTACCATACTTTCGATGGCTGTTGAAAGTCCTGGCCACCATACAGAGTCTTTGGCTCGAGCTCTGCACTTGGTGATTCCTTGATGACCCTGGTGGATCTTCAGCAGAATATCAGGACGCATGGACAGCGGTATGATGAGTCTTGATCCTCTCATGAGCAGTCCATCTTGAACGGCGATCTCTGATCGATGTTGCCAATACTCTTTGCAGCTGTTAGGGACTTCTTTTCGGATGGGCCATCCTTTTTCGCTGTACCATGCCAACTGTTTGCGTGTAGAGTCCCTGGCCTGCTTATCTTTGATTTCTTGTAGCCTCTTTTCTGTCGCGGGAAGGTCAGCTGTCACCCCCTTGACATATGCAGCCACCTCTTGCTCCAGATCTCTGTCACCATTTTCGTTTAGAGGCTGTCGGGACAATGTGTCCGCCGCAATTAAAGACTTTCCTGGAATGTGTTTCATCACATAGGAGAATCTCATTATTCTCATCTTCATTCTTTGAAGTCTAGGTGTGATGTCAGCTAGATTTTTAGACATGAAGATTGGCACAAGCGGCTTGTGGTCGGTTTCAATTTCAATGTGAAGGCCCGTGATGAAATCTTGAAACCTTTCACATGCCCAAACTACCGCTAGGCCTTCCTTCTCCACCTGTGCGTACCTTTTTTCCGTCTCTGTGAGTGTCCGTGAAGCGTACGCCACAGGTTTGTAGGACCCGTCTTTTTGAATCTGCCGAAGCACAGCCCCCAAGCCATATGATGAAGCATCGGCTGAAATCACTGTCTTCTTTTTTGGGTCGAACAGCGTCAGTACAGGACTCGTGGTGAGTGCGTGCTTGAGCTGATCGAAGCTTCTCTGCTGTTCCGTAGCCCAAACCCATTGGTTCTTTGAGCTCAGAAGAGAATTGAGTGGGTAGGCGATATGTGACATGTTCGGTATGAACTTTGTCAAATAATTGACCATGCCCAGAAAACTTCTTAGTTCATGAACGCTTGAGGGAGGCTTCATGTCAACGATAGCCTCGATTTTGGCGCTGTCTGGGCGAATTCCTTCGCGGTCGATGATGTGGCCCAGGAACTTCACTCTTTGTACGTTAAATTCGCACTTGTCCGGATTCAAAGTCATTCCTTTCGCCTGGAGACGTTCCAGAACCAGACGGAGTCTGTCATCATGCTCTTGTTGCGAGCTGGCATAAATGAGAACGTCGTCCATGTTGCATACAACACCTTCGAGACCGTTCAGAAACTGCGACATCTTCTTTTGGAAAAATTCTGGAGCCGATGATATTCCAAACGGTAGTCTCTTGAATTTGAACCTTCCGAAGGGTGTGATGAAAGTCGTTAGAGCTTGGGACTCCTCAGCAAGCTCAAATTGCCAAAACCCAGAATTGGCGTCGATCTTTGAAAAATAGCGTGCTCCGGTGAGCTGCCCGAAAACGTGTTCTCCTACAGGTAGTGGGTGAACTTCCCTTTCGACGAACTTGTTGAGGTCCGTTAGATCTACGCAAATTCGGACCTCTCCGTTGGGTTTTCTCACGATCACCATTCCAGAGCACCATTCAGTTGGCTCCTCGATTGGCTCGATTATTCCCATCTTTACCATTTCTTCGAGCTTCGTCTTGGTCTTGCCGAGAAGAGGAATGGCTACTCTTCGAGGTGTCATCATTGCGAAAGGTACAGCGTCAGGTCTCAGTTTTATCTTGTACGGAATCTTGACGTGACCCAACCCAGAAAATAACTTCGGGTATTCTCTTTTTGGGTCAACTGTGCAGCTTCGCACGGCCCCAACTTGATCAAGGCGCTGTACGATGCCTAATCGTTCACTTGCATCTCTTGAGAGAAGTGGCTGTTCCAGGTCTTCTACGATGTAGATGTCGGTCATGAATGTTTTGCCCCTGTAGTAAAGGGTCTCGTTCATGACACCAAGAACTGTCAAGGATTTCTTACTTGGACCCTTGAGGACTTTCTTGGGATTCTGTAGAGAGACATCCTTGAAGAGTTCTTTGTACATCTCAGGAATAACGGTGACGTCGGCCCCCGTGTCGACTTTGAATGTTATGGAGACTTCTCGGACGTCAACCTTGACTATCCATCGCTGTCCCTCTGACGTGAACACGGTGCCAAGAAATGCCGTCTCAGACGTTGTTACCTCTCTCAAGGTGGTAGAGCTTCTGCAAACCCGTGCGTAGTGTCCCTGTCTTCTGCATTTGTTGCATGTTGCTTTTATCGCAGGGCACTTGTTCGTTTTATGTCGTTCATTGCCACATCTTGAACAGACTTTCTCGGATGTTGGTAAACTCGATTGAGAACTTTTCTTTTCTCCATTTCTTTCCTTTCCTCCCTGTTGACTTGCATCTTTTCTGAAGATTCTGTCAACGTTATCTTCTGGGGACTTGTGGAGAGCAACTTGCTGTTTCTTGACAGCTTCTGACTGTCGAGCCAGATTTGTAGCCTTCTCGAGTGTCAATTCCGGATCTAGTTGCATTTTCTCCGACAGTTTTTGGTTGAGGACCCCGACGACAATGCGATCTCGAATCATCTCCTCGTGTAGGACGCTGAAGTCGCAAGTCTTGGCGAGGCTATGAAGTTCTGTTATAAATTCTTCCACGCCCTCGCCTTCCCGCTGACTTCTTTTGTGGAACTTCGCTCTCTCGTAGATGACGTTTCGTCGGACAACGAAGTGTCGCTCGAAAGCTGAAAGGACTTCTTCGTACTTCTCCATCTTTGCTGGAGGCAGGTTCAACGAGAGAAGGATATCGTCTGCTTTGTCGCCCATAAAGTAGATAAGACCGTTGACCTGCTCAGGCTCAGGCTTTTCCGATAGTCCACTGATGACGCGGAAACGTTCGAATCGCCGCTTCCAATGAGGCCATTCATCGGGGCTGGCGAAATCAAATTCCGCGGGAGGTTGGCACTGGAATGAGTTGGCGTTTGCCATTGCTCACCGTTCCTCTCGGGTCCTGGGTCCTTGAACTTCTGACACCATGTGTTGTTGGCTGTTAATAACACAGAGCGCTCTCGGTAGCCTCCTGTCTAGACGCCATGTTTATTCTATATCTCCAAAAACCCTCGTCGTTCTCCTCTTCTTCAGCAAAGCCTAACAGCACAGCCGCCGTCACTCATAGATGGCGGCAGCCTTTCCACTCTGGCTTACCGACTTGCGGCCGGCCGTTACTTTCCATTATACAGCTCCGCTGGTCTTCCTTTTTCACCGGAGTGGAAAGGCTGAAAGTTTTTTTTCTTGCCCGGTGATCCTGACATCGGTCATACAAAAAACTCTCTGCAGCCATATATATGTTCGAGGCATACACATGTATGAAGCAGACGTGCTTCCAACATGGCCGAGGCGTGTCCGGAGATAATTCGAAGAGCAAGTCGTCTGCTTCTTGCGCAGGGGTTACAATGACGTTAGAACGACGCTTAGTTCTGATTGGCTTCGATTGGAAGGATGGTGGGTAGACCTCAATGTAGATGCCTCTAGGTCTATACTTACTATTTTGTCCAATCAGCCAATAAGAGCTCGCTGTTCTGACATCATCGCAACACCTGCGCAAAAAGCAGACGAACTCGCGCTTCGCATTCTGTCATGTCTGCAGCGAGTGCCGTGCCTCTTGGCGGATGTACGAGCAGTGCGATTGCGGGTTTAAGCTTGTTTCGACTCCGTCTACGTCTGGAGCACGGTCATAAGTTCTCGTAAGAGTCACGAAACATATATCTTGCAAGAATGTCTAATTGTATAAATTCGTTTTAGCTGTCGGATGCACTGTACCAAGTATACGCCAAACTCTACTCTCTGGCCTAACGTCTCTACGGTTGCGCTGCTGTCGGCACTGCGCTTGCGCAGACGCATCCACTTCTCCCGGACCTGGCGTCCGCGCGCGCGAAGTCCCCCACACTTGGCGTGGGCAGACGCGGACTTGTTTTGTGCACAGTGCGGTGGTGTATATATTGCCATGGCCTCCTATATACTGACAAAGCCTGGCAGATCGCCACGAGGTGGAGCGGCAGACAGCGGATTAGAGGAGAGCCTAGAAGAGCCACGTGACTGGCGCCCCGCTGCGGCGAGACGCGGAAACACACTTCTCCCGAGCGAGCAAGTGTGTTTTGGGTCCTCGCCGCTGCAAAAGCTGTGCGCCGACGTCCGGGTTCCTCGAGAAATGGCTCTTTAATGCTGTGTGCTACTAGATCCTCGTGCTCTAAATCTGCGACCGAACACTTTATGGCTCCGTCGTCGAACTGCCAGGCCTTGTGAGTATCGAGGAAGCTATGATATTGCGTGTTGCTTTATGCAGCAGCTGCTGGCCCCGTCTCCCGGAGTCGCCAAGACGGCGCACGCAGAGGACTCCGTGGAACTGCTCGACTGCCAAGACGATGCGGGGCTGAGGTCGACCGACACGGAGGCGACACTGCCCACCTCTCCAGAGCTCCAAGAGCACCAGCAAGTCGACATTGACGTCGAAGAAGACGATATCTGCCAAGCGAGCAGTCGGAGTTCCACTTGAAACCACCTTTCCCCGCAAGACGCTATCACAGCTGCCTTTGAGATCAACTACTAAGTAAAAACAAAAATGCCTTCAACCCTAAATTTTTTTTTTTGGCCGAGCCGGACATTATTGTTATATATTTTTTTTAAATTGGGGCAAGATGATCACGTCACAAACGTCAGCCTGAAGGTCACCATTGTCGTTAACGTTATTCCAAAAAATATGGATCTTTTTCTTTTTGATTTTGAGCACCCTTTAAAGCAATGTTGTTTCCTGTTGTCTTTTTTACGTAAAAAACGTTTTGTATGTTTCTTTTTTTTTTTAGGCTTTGAAGTTCATCGTCAATCGCACCGTGAAATCATTGGGAGATTTCTAAGGCATAGTCATTTTAGTTGGTTTCTCGAAAGCAGCGTCTAGTCTACGAGACTCCTTTTTTTGTGTATAAAGGTTGGTCTTGATTAGTGCAATTAAAGGATGTTTTCTAAACTTCTTATCGTGGCACTCAAACTTATTGCACTCTAAAAAAAGTTTGCGCGTTAACTTTCACGAACAACACTCGAAGAGCCAATCACCGCAACTTACGAAAGCAGCTTAGCGAATGACAATGCCGAAACATGTGTTTCGACCAAAAAACGCACTCTGAGTTGTGACATTAAGCAATGCAAAACGTCACGCGTGCATTGCTTAATGTCACAACTCAGACTGCGTTTTTTGGTCTAAACATGTGTTTCGGCATCGTCATTCGCTGAGCTGCATCCGTAAGTTGCGGTGATTGGCTCTTCCAGTGTTGTGCGGGAAAGCAGACTCACGGGCTTTTTTTAGAGAGCATGCTACGAAATCACGCCAAGTGTACTGTGATGATTTAAATCGAACCTTCCACTTACAAATAATTGTCAAATATTTTTTACCTGCACGGTTTCTCTCGTTTGATGCTTTCTATGTGCATTTCTTTTGTATTCGAATCAAGTAATCAAGCAAGAAAGCTTGTAGCTGGTTGAACACGAGCAAAAAGCATCGCTCTTCTGAACAAATCTGATGTTTTATTACAACCAAATCATAACGCGAAAGAAAGAAACGAAAACAAGAAAGGAAATCATCATATTACAGGTAAGTCAAAGCATAAAAAGTGATAAAGCTTGTTGTTTTACTAACTAGAACAAATCAGGTTGCTCTTGGGCTAGTATGGTGGAATTTACATCGATGAACAGTTTCCAAATGTATTCTAAGCGCAGTCATTCTTTCGTCCGCCTTTTTTCTTTAAACAATCTTATGGATTGGTCAATTAATCTGCCGTGCATAAAAATACATCTATAGATAATTACCCCTTTCTAGCTACGGTGATTTAAATTTGAAATAATATAATTTAAATCAAATAAAGCTGATTCCAATCAAAATTAATTTTATTTATATCAACGAAATTTAAAAAAAACGTGATTTGTCTTTAGCCTGCAGGAAAGACTTGTTTCCCAAATTGTCGATAGAACCTTGAAAAGATCTTCGACTGAAACCTTTGAACCGTAACCCTAAGCTTTGCGTTGGCGCTTACGCCACCTAGCCAAACACTAAACGGAATAAAGGCGCCTCCAGCGCCACCTTCTGGATTGCTATCCCCAATTTAATTTTTATTTATCTTGGTAAAATTTAATAGAAAGGAACATTTAATTTCGTACTCTTGTGAAACATGTACCTTTATGAAATTATACTAGACTAAAATATGCCTTATGTATATTTTAGCATACTTTTGGAATCGTAAGTATGCTTTATTGTTCATTTAGCGCACTTCGTATTTTAGTGGTGCGGTCTGTTCGCCGATCCAGTCTGGCAACCAAATCGTGTGTTGTAAAATTTAAAACCAACAGGCAAGTTCTGGGCCAGGGCAGACTACCCCTGTGAGAAAGGAAGTAAAAGAAGCCGAGACAAAGACGCGAGAGGAAAGAATGCAGGGAAAATCCGTTTTAAGAATGTATGGGGGAAGAAAACAGGATATGAAGAAGGTACCCTGGTATAAAGATTCACAGCGAAGCTCGTTCGATGCTAGAACAGGAGTGTTGAGGACTAGGACACGTAGGACAAAGTATGAAAAAAATGGATACGGCGATTAAACACGAGGAAGATACATAGAAAGGGGGTACGGACAACAAAGACAAGGAAGTCTTCGTTGTCCGTCCCCCCTTTCTATGTATCTTCCTCATGTTTAATTACTGTTACCAACACGCTCGTTTTGTACTGGATACGGCGGTGTGCCATTTTCCAAGGGGATGACGAGACAATAAAACCTGTGGTGTTGAGGTGCACAAGGCTTGCTCCCGCCCTCCCCGGGGGGATGGGGGGGGGGGGGGGGGCGGGAGGAGGAGGGGGGAAGGAGGGGGAGGGGAGGGGAAAGAGAGAGAAAAAAAAAGGAAGGAGGGGCGGCGACGACAGATGTAGTCGGAGCACTGGGGTTTTCAGACAAGAAGGGAATAATAAATGATAAGTGCTTTTAATAACAAAGAGGAGACTGGAAGACAGGTGTAAATTATCTAGAGAGAATTAAATGACGTACAACTAGCTGATACAGCCGTGGGTACAGGCGGGACAGAGGAAAATTGAGATTCCCTTCCGCGTGGCTCCGGCCCAAAATCTAAACTCTGTCTCCCATGGTGGGCCCGGTGCTGAGGTAACGCCGACTAGGTTTGACCAGAGGAAAATTTGCGACTCCCTGGCCCGGGGAAGGAGGTGGGAGGTGGGAGGTGGGAGGGGGGGGGGGGGGGGGGGGGAAGAGCGAGGGGAGGGTGACGATTTTTTTTTTTTTTTTGCCCGATCCTACATAGGTCATCCTGATGATATTCCACACCGCCTAGGGATTGTTACGAAATTGTAGAGGATAGGCAAATTGGCGAAAGGAAGAAATGATATCTGTGGTTCGTAATTTCTGTGCTAGGTTGCGCAAGCTACCGGCCGTTTTAAAGGGTACAGCCGTTAGCATCCATCCATAGATCCCCCAAACATTTTACTTACTAGAACTAAAGACGTGCTTCAAGTATACTTGGCAAAATGTTTAATAAAAGTGCGAGGTTAACACACATCAGTGTATTACTTTTTTCTGTAGATACCCTTATCTTTCAACTATTGGGAATCGGCAAACAACCGTTTTCTTGGGTACTTTCGTAATGGTTTTCTCGTCAGTATACGCTGGAAATTCTAGCCTCTTCTGGAGGCCAAAAATATGCGGATAATCACGAAACGGCCAACTCCGCCGTTTTCAAAGTTGGAATTCGGGGTTAATTTTCTCAATTACGTGATTAAAGGAGAGGATGCAATCTTTAGACAAAAAAGCTCTATTCTCTATTTGACAAAGCAAACCGGGAAAAAAAGTCTGTATTTGCCCACAGCAGGTGGGGTCACTGCTCCTGCGCAGAAACAATTTGCGTGTTGTGAAGCGTCCGCGCACGTGCCGGACCGACAACGGCGTGAATGTCAGGGCCGAGCGTTGGTGCACACACTCATTTCGCGCTGTCATCCTTGGGGTTTAAGTTGCACGTTCGGCGAGAAAGTCGGTGCAGTGCCGCGCTTGACCTTTGCGCTGGCCAATCGCAGCGCAGCGCTGAAGTATCGCAGCGAGGAGCTGGCCAATCGCTGCGCGGTGCTGGATATATAATCGCAGCATGGCCGCTGGTCAATCCCGGCGGTCGGCGATATCGCCGACTTTCTCGCCGAGTGTCCAACTTGGAACCCCTGGTCGCGTAACTTTGCCGAACGTGGGCACTACTAGAGAAACAGTAGGGCTATGGGAAATGATGCCGACAACTCTCCAGCGCTTATCACCCGGGCGAAGAATGCCTCGGCATCCTCTGCACGTGTTTCCACTCCAGTCGGAAAGAATGGCAGCACGCAGAACGCGACTATTGGAATTGTTTATAGCATGTGTCAGGGTCAAGGTAGGGTGCCTTCATGTGCGTTTTGCTTAGGGTGGTGGCATCTCGCCATTTTGTCCCACACGTTTATTTTTATTTTTTGTTCAGAAGCGCGTGAAAGAGCGTGGCCCTGCACGCGTTTGTGGCGTTGACTGAACTATGGCGACATTTTGTTTTCGTTGATTTCTTTGTATTTTCCCCATGAGCGCGTGCTGTCGGCATCGGGTACTACAAAGGGTGGCATCACCCTAAACAGAAGGACATTGAGGCACCCTAGGTCAAGGTATTGAACAGAACCCGAACCGTGAACCGAAAACCGGAAAAAACCGTTATTTTCGCACGAACCGGAGTTGAACCGGAACGAGATAATATTTTTTGCTCTGGAGCGGAACCGATATGTTTTCCATGCGGTTTTCGGTTCATACGTGAAGTCAGGTCGCGTAAAAAGTGCGTGGCGAAAAATACAGTAGCCCCAAAAAAAAAATAAACCAAAAATGTAACGAAAAAAATTTATTTTCGCGCAAACCAGGGACAGCCGTGCGCTTGTTAAGAGACTACGTGTCTAATGTGTTACGTCCCTGATCAGAAAGCTAGGATTGAAGAAACCAGTGCTTGATTGTCGAACGCGGTGGATGTCCACGCTGCACATGCTCTCCAGGCTACTTGAACTAGGAGGCTTCGCTGGAGGGTTGCTCTGAAAAAAAGAAAGCTCCGGGTCGACTGAAGGCGTATGGGCGGAAGTTGAAATGCTCGCAGTATCGCTTCGCCCGGCAGAAGTGGCGACGAAGACATTGCAGGAGGAACAGAACACTGTAGGAGGTTTCTACAGAGCATGGCCGACATATTCCATGGACACTTCCAAGATATCCTCGCCGTTAGCAAAGGCCTTCGTCCAGTCGATGAAAAAGAGGAAGCGACAACTTCTTGACACGGATGTTTCTGTGGAGCAGTGCACATGGATCCCCGCTACCGCCTTCTTCTCCCCCCTGAGCAAAAGTACCGGGCCACGTTGCATTTGACAAAGACTTGGAGGCGGATCACAGCTCTGCAATGCACGCAAGATTCTACCCTGTCTTCTGAAAACTGCGGTGGCTTCAGAAGATCCGGAAGACACACCGGAAGTGCTCGTCAAGGAAAACAAAGGTTGAGGCTGGCGTGCACATTCGTGGTACCAGTAGCCCACTTAATAGCTCTTGTCCTGTATACTTCTTGTCGTTTTTGCATTATTTTGTATGTTTAACTAAGGTGAACCACTTGATATGGCATTACCCCTGGAAATCCTAGAAAAGGAGCGGCGGCTTTCAAGGCACGCTAACGTGTTACAGTTTTGGAAGGAATGACGGGAACGCCATCCAGAACTCTGCGGATTGGAGCAAGTATACCCTGGGAGTGCCTGCTGCCCAGGACAGCGTGGAGCGAGCCTTTTCTGCACTGAAGTTCATTCTATCGTCTCAAAGATGCCATCTTTCCCCGGATATGCTTGACGACGCCCTGCTTCTTCAGTCGGTTGCTTGACATTGAACTGCGCTTTTACCTACCGTCCCAAAATGCCACAGCACTAGCGCGTTCGATCCACACAGTAATGTTGGCCTTTGCTTTTTTATATGTTACACTTGTATAAAACATGCATAGTTTATCTTTTGGGATAAAAGATACACTATGCATGCAAACAAGCTGTCGTAAAATGTTTTTGTAGCATATGAGTACGAACCGGTTCGAACCGGTTTGAGCCTTTATTTTTTCACTCCGTAGTTGAACCGGAGCTGAACCACTTTCCCTGAACCGGAACGAAAACCGGAACGAAAAACATTTCGGTTCGACACCCTGGTCAGGGCCTAACTATCTATTGATCTGGAAGCGCCTAGTGCGTCTTGTCACTTCCAGTTGCATTGCATTTTGTTAAAGCAAGAAATCAAAAAAGGAAAAAGATAATTTGATATTGAGCTAAAATAAAAAAAAAATGAAAAAGGGGAAGAAAAACGAACCACGTGGGCGATTTAGTCATTCCGAAATTATATGACTGCCTGGGTGTCAGTCAGGTGGCGTTTCCAATCGTCCATCTTTCTGACGGGTCCGTAGGATTTGAGGAAAGTAAATGCGTTCAGCGACTTTCTCCAAGGTGGCTCCACTGCACCCACGTCCATCCGTTAGGTTCTCAAGCAATCTGATTGGTTGACGCCTAACGTCAGCAGCCCTCATCCTGGTGCTTTAATGTGTGCCAGAGCGTGACGAAAAGATTCTAGATCAGGTAACCTTAGAACTCGGAGCCGTTTGCATCGAGATGGTTCGGCCAATGGGCGGAGCGTGTGAGCCGCTAGAACCAGCCGACTTCGTGGTAACTAATAGATGATCGTGGTTTGTTATTCGTCAGCAACACAAGGTGGTAAAGAGGGAACCTACTGTTCCTCAGTTGCCTGACTTCCAGCCTTGGCTGTTACACCGTTTGTGTCTCCGAAAGACTGTCAAATTCTTTCAGTATAAACGGCTTTGTGAGAACCGTGATTGCGTATAGAGTCCCGTTCGCACACTTACGTTTGCTTACGTTGTTTTACGACGAGAGAATGCAGTGGCACGCTGGCGCCATCTAGGAGGTGACCGGAACTGTATTTTACTGCAGCGAAGGTTATGCAGTATTTTTTTTAAAGATTATATGTAATGAAAGCTATGAGAAATATTTGTTTATAATATTGTCAAATGATTTCCCAGCAAATAAAATTGCGCGAAAAATAAGGGAATATGTGGACATGCCGTGTTTCATGGCTGCCCGATAGATGGCACCAGTGTGATCTCTCATCTTAGGAGTCCCAAAGATGTTTTAAAACACTCGGTCGTAAGGAGTTACAAGTAGGGTCGTCGCGAACTTTTGTCGAATCTCGATTTTGAAGTCGAACCCCAAGGTTCAAATCGTTCGCCGAACCGTCGACCTTTCACTAAAGGTCGAGATTATGGACAGTGTTACCCGGCTTCTACCCGAATATTTCGAATGTGGGGAAACAAATATTTTGGAAAGTAGTTTATCTTAAATTTTATAAAATGGTCACATATATTCCCACCATATAAAAGCGAAAATATGCTCTTTTAATTCTTTCGTAAGTTAGTAATGTGAACGATTGAGGAATACACCCGACAAATACTGCACTTTTCCTCCGCCAGATAGAGTCAACTTTTTTTTGTGTGTGCGTGTGTGTGTGTGTGTTTTCGCGCATGCGCAGAAAAGTTGAATTCAGTCGAACCTTTATCAAACATCACGTTAAAAGTTCGAAGAAAGTCGAATTTGGCCGAACTCGAACCTGGGCAGGTTAGCGACACTTCTAGTTCCAAGTGTGTGAACCAATCTTAAGAATAGTTTTTTTTTTTTTGTCTTTTTTTGTAAAGGCCGCACAAGCACGTCTTGTTTACCTGTCCGTGAGGGCCATTAGTCGCCGAAGGCTACCATCTATGATCCCGCCACGCGACGACCGCCGCGTTCTTGACGACCGCAGCCTCGTAAGACAGCGAAATGAAAGGCAAATGTTAGTGGCGTTTTTCCTCTTTCGAGTTGGCCAGAGGATATACCTCCGCTAGTCGAAACCTGTTTGGCTCGTTTCCTGATGCGTTATCGGGGCGATATTTTTTGAAAGGAGGCAAGGTATGTTATACGTGTATATATACACGTATCGGCGTGCTTCTGGGAAATCCGAGAGCAGCGCAGCACGACGACGGGCGCCGATAGAAGCAGAAAAACAGACGAGCAAGGTCAAAGCCCGTACGTTGGGCGTTCCGCGGTTTCCGCCGAACTTTCGCCTTAAACGTGATGTCAAAACGTCGGTAACTTGATGACACGCCACCATGCATATGCCATCAAGGTGCCGTAAAGTTGTCACGTTAGTCTTTTGTTATAATTAAGTGGAAATTAAGGACTCGATCGGGCGGGCGACGACTGACGGATCATGCGGTGACCTGTCTCGACATATATGCCTTCAAGCAGGAGTCCCACCAGGTTTGTAATCTCGCTGCTCCATAGTTAAGCCTCGCCAAATCTCGCATGAGATTTGGCGAGGCTTAACTATGGTCCCCAGTTCGTTCGCGCGCGTTTTACATGTTCACACTATTTTTCGCACAGTAGTCTGCTGTACCCCAGCAAGATAGGCGCGAAGCTTCGCCAGTTTAAATCCAACCAACTTACCCACGTACTTGTCTTGCCGCCAGGATACAGTACAAGTACCGTACCGTACGGTACCGTAGAAAACCCGAATTTATACCGTATAAATACGTACGAAAACCAAACTAACAAAAATGAAGGTCTGTTTTGTCAAACATTTTTCTTTCCAGTAAAATCTAAGGGCATCAAGTGCAGTGAATCCTTTTGCTAGGAAACCGTTAACGTTTTTACAACCGGCCGCGGTCGCACTCCTCACATCATACAAAAGGCACGGCGTTTGCTGCATACATCATGGCAGAAGAATCTTCGGACTCAAGCAGTTTCTAATCATGTTTGCTTCATACATTGCCATGCCTCGAACATTTCTGCGGACAGTCTTCATATGACCAATGTCAAGGACCTTCATACAAGGAAAGGACACGTCTCCGACAGTGTTGGCAAACTGTCTTCTGTATGAGGCACTTGCAGTTCGATCTGCCCTAACTAATTGTCCTCGAGCCATCAAAGCTATCCACGCTTTGCGATTGCCGTTTACAAAACAAATACGAGAGTTGATTGGTCTGTAGTGTGCGCCATTCTCGGAGAAAGTGCTGATGGAGGGTTTTTGGCCACGTCGTCCATTAAAGGGGTACGGAAACGAAACTTTAGCACCTATTTTCTTCATTTATCCAGACGCTATAAGTTGTGTCAGCACCTTAGAAACATCAGTATGCCGCTTGTAAATGCGCGAAAACTAGTTTTAAAACGAATAAAACGATTTCTTAATACCAAGCCCCTGGTAGGTGGGAGGCCGATGTAGTTATGACTTTGAATGACTCTCGCACCAGCGCCACTCACGGAAGTCGAGCGTAAAAGTATAGACAACTCGGAATTGGACGGAATAGCGAAGCTTCCACGGTGCTTCCGCAACGTGCATTCCACCCCATCAAGATCGCCGTTCTTAGCAGACGATAGGTAGGAGCTTGATGTGAGGTTGCGGACACCTCTGCCGACCATAGGTCTCCGCTTGTCTTCCCAAAACTTCTCAAAGCTTCACAGACGAAGAAACGACAACGCACGGCAGGCGAGATCAACCGTGTATTTGTACAAGAAAAACAACAACAACAACAATGGTTTACTAGTGATTTTCGATGTGATGCGCGTTCGACCTTCGTGCGTATAACTCCGGTAAAATATACACCACTGGCATCGCACGAACATGGATCTCACAGGCGCGTGGTTGGCACAGGTATTTCTGTACATACAAAGCACATGGTGTCCGTATGCATAGTCTATATACTCTCGTATTGTTAACAAATGATGGTCTCTGACACCAACTAAAGCCGAATTTCTCGTTGCTTTTTTAATGACATAGAAACACGGCGAAAGAGTTCCTTCACAATGCGTGCAAACTATCTGCGCTCGACCGCAAGGTCGGAGGGGTCAGAAAGGCAGACCCGACGTTTTTCTAACAAACAAAACCGCTACCGATTCTCAAATTCGGCAGCATACAGACAAGAAGTTTTTTGTTTTGTTTTTTCGTTTTGTTTACTTTTGAGCGGACGATGATATGCGTAGAAAACGTGGATAGGCACACCAAAAAAAGAAAACGCACACGATAAAAATAGAAAACATTCTGCGAGTTCATTTACCTGCAGAATACAGAAACGGCCAATCATGGTAAACAATTCTTCCAATGTTCACCACAAACAACTGTCGCTATGTTGTAAAAAAAATAAACTTACAGGATTTTTTTTGTTTCAGAGAGCATCTGATCGCAGCTCTGTGACGCAGACGTTTAAAAAAGCCCGACTTAAAAAGCCACTCTTATCACTCACATATGAGTGCAATGTCTGCTATACAGTTTACGCTTTTTTTTTAACGACGAATCACTGCACAGCACAACTCGATTGGCACATGTCCTTCCTTGGAAACGCGACACTTACCCTTCAGTCTTGATTGCTTTCTAGCGTCTGACAACACTGACAAATGCTTGCGCTCTCGTGAACCAAGGAGATTCTCCCACACCCTGGCGACACCTAGCTAAAGGTTTCGCCAACTAGAAACAGAATGGTCGACGATAATAAAGTTTGTACGATGTAGGGTGAAGCGTGCGAGGAGCTATAGGCGCATCGAGGCACCCTAAACTAAACTGACCTGCAGGGCAACTTTGTATTTTTTCTTCATTGCATTCGCCCGCGATTGCAGTGGCGCAACAACCGGCAGAGCATCGTCCTTTGTGCAACGATTCTCATCTAACAAAGCCGTAGGGCTGAGATGTTTGGCTTTTTCTAAAGAAGGCCAACGAGGGGCACAGATTCGACGTGAGTGCACCGTCAGCGTTGGGCTGGGACTAGTGCTCTGACTTATTGAATACGGGTCTGAGCCAAACGCCCACGCAGCGCTCTTATCCAATCTTTGCTTTGCGCACGGTATAATATACTATAGTATATATATCGATGTGAACACAGCACGGCGAACGCTGCGACGCGATCGACCAGAAAACGTCCCATCGGCGTGCAAGCCCCAGCAGCCTGCTCCAACAGCGTCCCACCGGCCAGACGGCGCAACTGAGGAAAAAAGAAACAAACAAAAACGAGAAAGTGCGTCGTTGCCATGGCATTTTTGCGCATGCGCTTTCGGCTCGGTGCGTCTGCTTACGACAGGCTTACGACAGGCAACCAAGACGAGGGAAGGCCTTCGTCTGGTGGCTGGGACGCCGAGCAGTGTCCACATATAAATACATACGTTACACCGTGGCCCCGCGTTGGCCTTTTCTAGCTGACACGGCAAATTCAGCACTAGGTCTTTGTTATTTAGGGAGCTGTTCGGTCTGACCACCCGCCTCCTTTCCGAAAACTTTCGAACGACGCACAGCCCCAAAGTCAGCTGCTGTCCTCGCCAAGCCGCGTCAGCGACGACAGCGCTATTTCTTCTGGTCGAGTGCATGGTATCGGTGAAGCGGGACGCGTCCTTCGGCGGTCAGCGGCCAGCACTGAGCCCGTCGAGTGACGCTGGGGGCATTCTGCCTTCAGGGCTCGAAGCTGTTTTCAGCGTCGTTCTGGAAGTCGAAGGGCATGTTCTCCACTTCTGGCTTCCCCGCCGTGGTGGGCAGCGGGCCCTTGGTGCCCGGGCACTCGCAGATTGGGCACCCGACGGGGCTCTTGGACTTGGTGCACGGGCTCTCGCACGGTGGCGACCGCAGACAGGGGTCACAGCGGCAGGTCGTGCAGCCGTTGCTCTGCTGCACGGGCCGGCAAGAGAAGCCCTCCTTGATCAAGCACGGCTTGTTGTCGCAGGGCACTGCGTGTAGATTCGCGCGTGTGTTTTGGACAAAGAAATTCGGCCCGCGGTTCCTATACTTTGCCTCATCCTACGATGGACTAAGGGCCAAAGCCACGGGCCGCCCCCCCCAGGTCCGATCACGTTCCACACTAAACTATGACATGATTAGCGATGATTAGGGCTGGGCGAATAATGCTCCTAACCCAAAAGCACTGCATCATGTCAATAGCTTGCACACTGCAAGAGCCTCTATGTTGTGGCTTTCTTTGCAGTGTAAATTTTTTGAGTCACTCAGTGCTATTCTATTTGACCACTGTCCGCCAATCCCCATCATTGATCCGAGACGCGGGCACCGATACATGTATCGAAGCGAAATATCGTACAATTTCTAAGTGGCTCGTGATTAGATCTGGCGGTCCCTAGCTTTGGCCTTTAGTCCATCGTATAGACGAGACAGAGTATGGTACCCTGGAAACATTGGTGCGCTTTAATTTAGACGCTAGAAAAACGCTTCTATTTTAAAGATTTATAACGGCAGCCCCTGCTCCCGGAAGTTTGTCTGTTCCTGCGTCTGAACAACCCCATGGCACGTGACGTTTGTGTGCCACATCACGCTACACTTGCCACCATAACGTCACGTGGTGTTTAATGTCTTATAAACAAATCTTTGCTGCATTTCATGCATTCCATGTCCTACTGAATTTCATTCATCATAGGATTTTTGAGATAAAGGCAGTTGATATTTTATTCCTCTGCGTACATCCACGCGCAAAGATTATTTTTTTTTTGTATATCGGAAACACTGACCACACAGACACACGCAACCCTTACGTTTTTTTTTTTTTTTTTTTTTTTTTCTCGTTTTCATTTCATTAAATCTTGTAACCCTTTTCGTCAAAGCTCCCACCAATGCAATCCGATGGAATCCACTTGACATCGGGCTTGAGTAGCTCGGTTCGTCAAGTGAATCCTTCTTACGAGGTTCCAAACCGAATCGCACATCGCACGTGCTTCTATCGCCAACATTATGGATCCACCGAAGTAACGTCGAGAGTTGGACTAGTTGTTATTCGTTGATCATATTGTAGAAAAAGCGAAAACAAGATACGGGCGGAGCAGGAGAAACACGAAAACAGGATGAACGCTGTAGAATTGATTGAAAACATCATAGAAGAAATACGCTCACAGGATGAACGATGTAGAAGAACAGCGTTCGTCCTGTTCGCGTGCTTCTACTGCTCCGTCCGTATTACCTTATTTTTTTGCGCTGTTTCTACAATATGATTATGGACCCGTTCATGCCAACTGACCCATACTCACCGCATTTGCAGATGGGGCAGTTGTCCGGATGCTTCACCACTTTGCACGTGTATCCTAAGTCACAGTTTGGAATTGGCGGGCAGGAATCTGGAAGGAAAGATCGAAAGTTGTGAGGGTCATTCGGTCAATCTCAATACTTCGCCATCTATATCCTCTTATTCATTTATTTCTAGCGCACTAGTCGTTGGGCTTAAACAGGTTAGCATGTGCTAGGGTATTGGGGAGGAGGACAGACCGTGACGCCCCAAGCGGTTAACCTAACAACTACACGGATGGGGACAACAAATACAATGACGCAGCGTTCGGCCGACATAACCGAACGCGGCGTCAGCGTTCGGCTGGAGTTCGTGTTCTCCGGTGAAGGGGAGGAGGGGCTCTTTTGTTTCCACTCGGCCTGCATGAACAATGCAGCATGCACGATCCCAGCTCATCACAAAAGCCGAAGTGGGTCAAGCTCGCATTCTCTGAGGATAGATCCAGCACTTAATGGCGCTTCGTCGATTGTTAGTATTTTTTTTTATTAAACTGCGCCCCGCGCTCTATTGTAGAAGATGACATGGCCATGCCCATAAGGCCTGTCGGCATGTGCACAGGCCTTGTGTTGAGTAAACACCAAGCGTGGGGAAAACAAACGGGTCAGAGCGCCCCCTATAGTTCGATCTCCTGCCCAATAGTGATGACCCCGAGGCTACAGTACGTGCTTCAGTTATATTCTTCGACATATGGCGTGAACTAACTCCAGGAATAAAATAAATAACCAGGTTCACGGATAATCACAACTAAGTGAAAGCGGTCAAACTCTATCGAAATTTTACCATCGTATATATGTATGCACGTCATAAAGAGTCCCTTTCGAGCAGCCTACATTTATATACGTATATCTTCAGCGCGGGAAAGGCGTCTAATATCAACTGGTCGGCATACAAAATAGGCCTCTGGTTACGGGCAATTTTCACTATACACTGCGAGACATTGTGCACGAACAGGTTCTCTTGTTTTGTTTAGAAATAGTATTGATCGTTACCGCTTAAGTTAGGGCACGGAATGAAGACTTCACTCTTGATCATGACTCTATCATAACGGCCTTCAAGACTAGAAAAAACCGACCATCGCTTGTTCCAGCTAACAGTGATGTTTGTATATAGGACTTTAAGTTTCGATTGTTCATGGCAGAATACGGAATTGCCGGATTCTGCGAATACCACCGATAATCTATTCAGTGGAGGGGGAAAAAATAACGTCGTGAAACAAGAATGAAAAAAAGCTATATGAAAGTGTTTTCCGAAAAACAGCTTGAAAAGTTTTGATAAGCATAAGCATAATCGCCTTGAAGGTTACCGCACTCACCGAGTAGCAAGCGAGAGAGAGAAAACTTATCAATAAGCTGGATAAAGTTTGTACCTGAACGACGTATATAAAGCACGTGATTATGACGCGAAGTAACCTGAAACCATGCATACTGCCCCCTAAAGCTTTATGGGGTGTAAATCTGTCTGTCCCAAAGCTAACGCCCCAAAGGGGTTAAACCAAGGTCCTTAGAGTGCTGGTGATGACCCAATAGGATTCCGTCGAACTTAGCAGGCGTCTTAGAGAGTTTTTGCGAGCCATAACAAGTTTACAGACAGCGAGCACGGGTTGAACGTGCACAGAAAGCACAGAAATAGATATGCAATGAGGCAAGCGCGACAAAGGAATCATTACCCTGTTGACTGCTCCCACCCCAGAATTTAACGATACCGATTCGCACGTAACCGCCTCCGCAATTACAAAGGTTCCAGGTATACGTCGCTTTGTTATTGTGAGTGTTCTACATAGAGTGCAAATATCTCGAACTCCAGAGGATGCATCTCCCAACTCAAAACCACTGATATAGAGATAGACAATACTTCTTCAATCTAGTCGCCAAAACCACCTCCCCTAAATTGTTTGAAGCGGTTGTAAGGTCGTTCGCACCATTTTCCAGAGTAGCACTCTTTCTGCACCTATTTTGCACCCTTCAAAAGTGACGGGTGTTTCATGCAACAGCACTCTATTCTACGATTGAAAAGGGTGTGTGACTGGAAATAAACGTACTGAAAGGTATACTGCGATGTTTTCTTCTTGGTCCCCGATTTGCCTGAAAATTTGCTAAACTCACCAATACACATCGCTGAAATATATTAGGTTAAAATAATATTTTTGTGAAGTTATTTTTTGGTCCCCACCAAGTTTTTTTAAACCGGAAGTCTCCTCTGGCAACAACGAAAAAGTGATGCCACCGGCAAGGCAGGGGTTCACCCTTTGGAACGTAGGAGTTGTTCCCAACTGATTCCAAGCAGTTTCGTGGTGTTCAATGAATGCTTTGAAAGCTCGCTCCGGTACTCGCGCACCAGCACGAAACAAATACTTGGCATAGTCTATTTATTTAAACTGCTCGCTCGACTGGCAAGCCTGCCTGTCACTGACGTCACGGCACCGAAAAATACGTGTACATCTGAATGTTGGCTTTTGGCATTATTTGCCGCTTCCAGAATAACTATTCTGAATTTCGCGATACTAAACACCGTACCGAAAAGGGTGAAGGCCGGAGATTCAGAATATATAGTAATAGTCGGCGACAGCTTAGGAGTTCAGGGCAAGGGAAAGTAAGGTTGTGGAGGAGGAAGCAGGCGGAATGGTGAAGAGTAGATGGTCCTTCCTCATCTCCTCTTCAGCAGTCCATCTGCTTCCTGGTCCCCAGCCTTTCTCTCCCTCGTCCTGTACTCTTAACCAGTCTCCGACTAAGGTTGGGGTAGCACATAAAATCGCCGGAGTACCCCTTTAAGCGAGCAAAAACATGTAGTATGTCGATATAACGCGTGAAATGTATGATGATAAGCGAAGCTCGTGTCGGGTTGCCGGACTGCACCTTCGCGTAACGTTGGAAGAGGCCGAGCCACGCCCCCCGTCGCCTGCGGGGCACCGGCCACAACCGGTGGCCTCGACTCTACCATTAGGATGCAATTGCGTCTTTTTTTGGAAAACAAGAGGCACTCATTCTTCGACGAAGTCGTTTTGCAAGTTTACTTCCTCGCGTAGAAGCATGCGAGTCTAGCGCCTTCGTCGGGATGAGAAAATTAGTTCTCGCGCACACGATGACGTCAACGCCTGGGGGTTTAGCTGCTCCGCCATCTTGTTTACTTGTCAGAGCGAAGTTGACCGATGACCGGCTTCAAAGTATGAAGACGCAGCAAGTCCCGAATACCTGCTGCTTGACCCGTACGTCTCAAATCGGTACAATTTGCAAGAACGACAATAGTGACTTGTATCAAAACGTTGCCGTGTTTTGAGTATCGCAATACCGAAACCTTCGAAGCACGTTAATATTTTATTTGCTTCATTTCAGCTTAAGCCCAGCGCTGTCTGATTGGTATGGATTAAGATGAAAAGAAATATAGTTTATTCATTTTTCTTCGAGTAATTGCAAGTGTCGTTGATTGACGTTTATCAGTAGCTATGGTTCCTCTATAGTTATTAATCACGTGAACACGCCCACTGTTCTCCCACAAATACAGATGGAGACATTGGCACTGACTTCGCAGGGGCGGTTTATCCCTACCATTTGCTACATAAAGACAATAAAAACTGCTCACAATAGGCACTTGCACGCTTGGATAATCAAAACATGTTCATTCATTGTTCCACGCAGATACTCATTTGCGCGTGCACCGAAACGAGCAAATACACACACTCACATTTGCATAGCTCAGCACGTTCATACTAAGGTCTCTTAGTTCGTACTCATTAGTCCAGACATACGAAGAAAAATAATAATAAGATGCTCGTTCGTTTCAGTTCATAACCACACGCTCTCGTCGTCATAACAGGCGCGGATAACAATCACAATTTCGGTGTTCTGTTCACGCCCGGCGCTCGAAGACAATCGGTCAGGGAGAGTCAACGATTCCCCGAAATGACGGCGCTAGATAGAGGACGAACCAGCAGCGCGCGAAGAGCCCGCGGCAGCAGGGCCGTCTTCGACCTTGAAGCTAGCTCACTTCGCGGGAGGTTACGTGACTCGTCGGAGACGCCATACGTGGTGCGCACTACGAAGGGCCGATGCCGCCAGTCATTCGTTTTAAAGACGCGACTCTTCCGCCTCAACGGCCTCTCCGGCGACACTCTGTTTGTGCACTCGCGCGCGTGGGATCAGCCGGGGATGCGACAGACCGGCACCGACATATCTATGAGATCTGCACTCGCCATTCGCATCAAAAACCTCCGTAAAAAAATTGAAAAAAAGTCCGGCTGCTCGCGGAGCATTACCAATTTCCACGTTTAAGTGGTGAGTTAAGATATGTGCAGGATCACTTCGTACTAGCTGTATGTTATTTTACCAAAACGTATACACGTCTCAACAAAAACGCCAAAGGCATCGTTTCCTCCCTTGACAACTAAACCTTGCAGGAACTACTTTGCGCTGCATATGAAAAATTCAAAAAGCTTGTTGTTTTTATTCCTCTATGATCTAGCTAGAAGTAAGAGCCTCTCCGTTCTACAGGCGGGTTGATACATTTTCGTCTCAATGCGACAGACTGCGTTTCATCCGCTTGGGACTGCTTACGACTTAGATAACTGGCGCCATCTGTCCGGGAGTCCTGTCTTTCATCCCCCTGACCCCCGCTCTCTGCGCGTATGTGCGCAGACGGCTTGACCATGTGGCGCAGAACAGGTGGTTTAGCCACCTCGGTGGCTTCGAGCCAAAGCGTTGGCCTACGGATCCCCAGTGTGCGAGTTCCAATTCCGGCCGAGGTGCCAGTAATATGACGGAGACTTATGCAGTGAGAAAATCCTCTTCTTCTTGCACAGGAGTTGCAGTGACGTCAGAACGACCCCGATTTATGATTTGCTTTGATTGAAAAGATGGTCGGTAGAACTTAATGCAAGATGCCCTTAAAATCTACCCGTTATTTTTTTCTTTTATTGAGCCAATAAGAGCTCACCTTTCTTACATCTTCGCAACCGCTGAGCAAGAAGCAGACGAACTTGCGCGTCGCATTGCCGAGAAGGCGCGACCGGCGTCTAACCGAGATTTCGATTGCACGTGCAAATCTCCTCAGGTAGTCCTC